CTCCTAGCCACTGACGTAATCCTACCAACTCCACACACACAAGCAGAACACCATCATAATACATAAAAAGCCCACACACACTGTTGAAAATACTGAACTGATGGGACATTACATTTTTATGTACTGTTATTTCTTACAGGCTGTCATTTATTGTGCACTGTTCAGCTTTAACAGTGCAGTCTGACACACTGACAGGCACACCTCTTCTCTGTGTTATATTATAGTAATGTCATAAACCAACTAGGCCTACCCATGGTGGATTAAATAAACATAAAGTAGGGAAAGATTGAGATCTGGTTTAACATTTAGTTTAGCCAAAACCACTATCTTTCCCTAACCTAAATCAAAGTGTTTTTGTTGCATAAAAACTAACCACACTCGGAAAACCAGGATCTGGTGGTGTGTTTTGCACGCCCACCATCCACCCTGACCACTCGCAAAACAACATCGGTGCAGTACAAGAATGTGGCACTTCATTCCTTTTAAAAGAAATATTCAAACTGAACACAATCCTGGCACCAATTACACACACAAAACTTAAATGGCAAGACTAATTAGTAGTATATGGAGAAACGGGGTTGGTTTGGTAGGATGAATTGTCACCTAAGTACGGTTACTTGCTCAAAGCCACGGCACATCATGGGTGTCCGTGTGGATAATTCATATTTGATTTAACGCAGTTATTTAATCTCACAAATATACAAAGTTCAAATACTAGTATAGTAATACTATATCAAGTTTTTTGAGTGACGCTGCTACTACTGACACTGCTACTGCTGACACTGCTACTGCTGCACACACAGGCTATAGACTAGTGCACACTGAGAATATCATTACCCTGATACAAGATGCTGTCTGTCAAAATATACAGCATGCCATCTCTCTGATAGCTCACTGAGGGCGGAACAGGGAGGAAATCATATGAAACTATATTTACAATTTGAAGCATACATTGTGTGCACTGTACTGTAGCTTCTTCTGATGTGTCTGTCACAAGTAGCTGACTCTTACTGCACACTGCATGACTCAACACAACAAGTCTACTCAAACAGGGAGACACACATTGAACCTGGAGGGAACTAGTGCCGTCCTCTGTATGTGTGTGTGTTTGTGTGTGATAGTTCATGCATGTCAGCCTCTGTGTGTGGTGGAGATTCTCTTTATGTCTACACATTTTACCCTAATTTCCTTCAACCTCTTAAACGTATCTTTTCTTCAGTCCCAGTATATAGATGTGTGTGTGTTTGTGATCCAGAGTGGGTCTTGGGAGTCTTTTGGAGCCAGTTCAAGTCCACTCACAAGTCTTCGTAACCAAAGCCAGGATGTAAGTGTTTCAGGTCCCTAAAGGTGACATTTGAAATCAGACTGCTTTCCTTTCAAAGCTTTGTTGATAGTGATATTCAGGGCCGGGTTACACTATAAACTAAGTGGTTGGAACAGCATGTTGTACGACCACTTTGGAAATCAAAAGGCTTTATACCTGTTCTGAACGTGAAGAGAGAAGTTCAAACCCAGCTTTCTGTCTCGCCTCTGAACAGCTGTGTGTGAATGTCAAACTGCCGCTTTCAGAAAGTTACAAAAGTGGTCTCAGACCCCCAAATCCAAAGCCTGAAAGGTGTGTGTGTGGGGGGAGGAGGTTTCCAAAGTATATATTAAAGAGTAGATTGACCACTTTAGCCATGCTAGTGGCATGGGATGGTACTGTCAGTCTGTCCTTAGGTGAGTCAATCGTCTATTGGATTGGTACAGACATTCATGTTCCCCAGAGGATAAGCCAATAGACTTTGGTGATCCCTTGACTTTCATTCTAGAGCCCTCACTCGGTTGAAATTTTCTATTTTTAGTAGACTGCTTGACAACTTTTTGTTAGATAATCAATACAATCATATTGTTAAAAAAAAAAAAAAAAAAAAAACTAATTTGAGTGGAAAAACTGTTCAAAGTTTGCCACTTCCATCAACCTTTTCTAATGAGAAACTTCAAAAATGAACAATAAAGTCATTGAAGTTGAACTCTCCCTTCCACCCATATGTATCTCTTCTCCTCTTCTCCTCAGTCAAAATCTTAATGCAGCTCCTCCATCATCTCCTCTCCTCTCTTTGTCCCTCTCCTCCTTCCAGACTCTCCAGTGCAGTGCAAGCTAAAGATAAGAGTCCACACACTCACACACTGTGCGTGACACGAACGCACACCCACACCTTATTCTCTGAGTACTGACCACCCAACAAAAACACACACACACACACACACACACACACACACACACACACACACACACACACACACGTGACTAACTATGTGGACGCTGTATTCTATGTGTGTTTTGTGTCCTTGGCACTTCTGTAATTACCTTTGGGTAAAAATATCAAAATACTGCAAGCACTCATGAAATGCTGCAACAAAGGGGTGTAGGGGTCCTGCTCGCCTCTCAGACAGCCATCCAGACTGAGAGGAGAGGGGATTTGGGGATGAGAGCTGCTCCTGCATATTTTACAACCTGTTCGGCAACCATCTGCTCCCTGACACACTCACATATGCACACACACACACACACACACACACACACACACACACACACACACACACACACACAAGAATACAATGTAGCACAGTCAAGCCTACCTTCCAGGAATGTGTGCCGATTTAACAGACATTGGACCTGGTAATATATGTGCAAACAAAGGCATAACCACAAGCATAAACACACAAACTTTCATACTGCAGAGTTAGGGAAAGGGTTGTCATTATCTAATACGCCTCTCAGCAGCTCACACCTATCATAACAATACCTTAAACAGATTGCCATGGGAACACAGCAAACCAGTCGGAGCGGTCAGACTTTACTCAGATGACCTTTATGCCCAACAAGAGCCAACTGCGGTTAACAAACCTGCTGTGGTCTCGCTTAATAACAGCTTGTACTGCTGTGACCTTTGGACACACTGTGTTGTAGTAAATCAGCCATTTGGTTGAGATACATTTATGCAGTTTGGCAAGAACCCTAAATCTATTTTAGATCATGACTCAATAACAATATCCTACTGATTCACATCTGAGGAACTAGAAATAGATTGTTTTCCACCAAAGAAACTATTTAAGCCATATTTGCCAGTGAAACAAGCTATTTTGAGCCCAGGCTGTGGAGACTTTGTTGCAGTTTAATTTATTGTGATTACATTTACATATTTTGGCACTGTGTCTTAAATTAAGCTTTTAAGTCAAGCACAGACTCAATGGGAAAATAGCAGAATGTTTTTGATTGAATCTGTGGTCCAATGCCCTTTAATGGAGGCCAGTGACCTTTAATAGAGGACGTTATTCGAGAATGTTAGCAACAGAGAGAATCTGTTCATTCACCATGGCACCCGTTGTACAGTCTGATCAAATCCTCTGATCTCTCTGGTTCTGATCTATTGTAACAGCTGTGAGCTGCAATTATACGAGACGAGAGAGAGAGAGATACACAGCAAGTTGGTCAAGTTTAAAGAATAATTCTATGTTATCAGAACTTGGGCCTTATTATTAGAGCTTTGGCCGTCATTCCTATTGGCAATAATAACCTTATACAGGCAAGAAACACAAGTCGGTCAGATAATCAGAAAGGTTAGCAAACTTATCTGGAAGATGAAACATCCCTTGTTTACAGACCTGCCCGGTTCCACTTTCTTTACCTACAAAACTTACTATAGCTGTTGGCCTTAGAGCCATACTAATAGTTAGAAATTTTGAATATGTATTCATGTCCTCCTCAGGATGAATTGTAAGAACTTTAGTGATTCCTTAAAATGGTGTATGTCATTGACTGTTGAGTCTCATAGTATTTTATGATCTCCCCATTGAACTTTTAATCCACCCCTATCATCAGGTAAACATTTTAACAGGTCCTATACTTTGGTCTATGACCAAATCCCTGTCAGTCCGTACTAACCAGCAAATCTTAGCTTGCTAACACGCTAGACTAAGATGGTTAGATCAAAGTATCACTGTGCCTGAGTAGAATCTCACTCTAGGCTCTGAGGATGGCAATGTCAGTCTGTCAGTCAGTCCACCACTTCATTTCAAACTGAAATATCTCAACAATTACTGAATGGATTGCCAGTGCATTTTGTGCAGACATTCATGGTGTCAAGAGAATGAACTCCAATGACTTTGGTGATCTTTTTATCTAGAGCCACCAACAGGTCAAACTTTTCACTTACTCTAGGAAATATCTCAGAATTTACTGGATGGACTGTTACAAAATTTGGTTATTCCTGGTTTTATCCCTTGTGTTTTCCTCTTTACTTTGTCCAACACTATGGTTTATGACCAAATACCTGCAAAACTAAACTGCACTTTGTGTTTAGTGCTCATTAGAACATGTCAGCATGCTAACATGCTAAACTAAGGTCTGTACAGAAGTAGGATCAAAGATTTAGTCTTGTTACAACCTGCCTGACAGTCTTACTGCTAATGTCTCTTGCCTTGTCACACGTTATATATGATCTCACCGTGTTTAAAGATCTCGGCAGTTACTTTGGCGAGCACAATATTATCACAATCAAGAGAAAAGATGGCTATCACAATGAAAACAAGGCCCAAAATGAAATAAACTGGAATTATTATTTCAATACCTATTGAACGAATTACAATGAGGCTACAGTACCCTCTCCCTGTCTCACCATGTCTCCATCTCAGTTTCCCTGCCAACCTAAGTAAACAACAGTCTTCTTCTTTTGTGGCAGTGGTTGTGCAGCAGTGCAGTGCTGTGGACGGTGGATGGATCGCGGACGGTGTGGAAGAGCTGTGAAAGACAAAGCCACGACAGAGAAAACAGGTAACAGCATGTCCAGCGGACTGAAGGCTGATGGGAGAGAGGCAGGGGGGCGGGGACGCGGGATGGGGCCCTACCTCCCGTGATCATTGAACTTAGAACCCTAGCCACCATGGTGGGTGGTCGTGGTCGGTGGTGGTGGTGGGGGGTTTAAAGGGACACACAGAACATGCTGGAAACTCTGTACCTTTCAATGTGCCTTCAGAGAGGGCCCAACTCACCCCCGGAACCAATAAATCTAGAGGAATGAGACCGTGTTAGTCAGGGAGAAGCAGAAGAAAGCAAGGAAGGAAGATGAAGAGTTAGAAACAGGAGAGAGTTAAAGAGAGAGAAAGAGGGAAAGAGGGATGGAGTAAGGCCAGAAGGAAGTGATGAAAGATTAAGCTGGTTTATGTTCCTACGTCTTTCCAGTGATTCTGAGTCCAGTTCTTTGGATTGACACTTTTATGTTTTGTAACAATCAGGAAGCCGATGACTCTCAAACCAAAGCAGATGTTACAACCACCTTACATATCGCATTCTGTTGAGATACACCAGTAAGTTGTCTCCTTCTATGCGCAACCTTGACTTTTTGTGTTGTTATGTTGCTAATAAACCAACATCTAGCCATTTTTTAAATCCTCATTAGTACTCTGTATGAAAAAAGGTTTCCTGGCAAAAAATACTAAGCCAGAAAAAAACTTTCCAACCAAAAGTGAGATAAGAAAAAAACAAAACCAGGGAAACTGAATGTAGAAATATGAAAGGTTTTGTGTGAATTCGAGAAGAAGGGACACCCCTCTCGAGATATAAAGTGTACATGTGTTCAGACTGAGTGTGCGGCGGTCTGGGAGAAGTTCTCGATTGGTCAGATACCCTTGGCAGACGCCTCCTGAAAAAGGAAGATCAATTTCAATCTGTATTTCTCAAGACTTGGACGGAAACATTCCTATAGTCAAATGAAAATTATCATGTCATATCGACGGCAGAGGGATTTTTTTTTCAGCTTTAAGAAACCAATGGTGTCCACTGCTCCTTGTAGAAATTTAAAAAGAAATTGCCTTTTGGATTTAAATAGGCACAAAATTCACAAAAAGTATAACACTAGCAGATGCTAGGGCTTGTGTTTTTACGAGAAGGAGGCAGTGGAAAGAATAAAAACCAAACCAAGCAGTTTGTAACCAACTCCTATACAGCCGGAGGGGAGGGGGAACAGGCAGGGAATCAGCTAACTCCTACAAATCTCACCCAAAGCTACGGTAAAAACTAACTACTTTTCTTCCAGATTTGTGTCTATCCCTGCCCCTGCGGCTGTACTACACCACATGCAGAAGAGGGGAAGGGAGGGGGGTCGTCTTGTTTAGGGCGATTAAATGATCAAAAACTCCCCCTCCCTCTAGCTCTGTATACCACCACCATGCAAGCCCCGTCTGTCAGCACTCACTGGGCATGCTCCAAGGGGCCATCCCAAGCACGGCGTCTACGGTAGACCAGGCAAGGTAAGGGAGAAGGGAAAGGTGGGGGAGGGTTGCTAATACCAGCGGTCAGCTGTTTGCTAGCTCTGCAAACTGGTCGATTATGGAAGCTTTTCTTAACATCCAGCTTGATCAATTTAATGCTGGGGTTGAAGAAGAGCCTCCACAGTCCAGAGTCTGCAGAGCCAGAATAGGTGACCACCGGACTGCAACAAAAACTAGCCTGAGGGCCTACAAGGAAAGGAAAAAGGGAGGGTTCTATCGCAGAGTAGCAACTGTAGTTGGTACTAGCTCACTAATTGCGTTCTTCCGGATTCGGCCAAACCAAATCAAAAAGCAAAAAGCAAAAAAAAAAATTAAAAAAAGGCTCAGGCTCAAATCAAGCAGGACTCAGAAAGATGTGGAAAGACTACCGACCAGCCAGCTCCTTCTCCTTACTCCGTCTCTTTTTCTCCAAGCGTTTCAGTCTCTTCTCCTCCCTGCGCTTGGCCTCTTCGGCCTCCTGGTGGCGCCGGCACTTGTGGAAGTTCTCCACCACCACGCCCACGAACATGTTGAGCACGAAGAAGGCCACAATCAGCAGGAAAGAGATGAAGTACAGCAGCATCCACGGGTTGTAGTTTGTTATCGGCTGAAACAGACACAGAATACGTTTACAGCAGAAGCCTTCTTCAACTGTGTGCATGCGCTCATAAATGACTGCTAACAGATATTATTAGTACATATTTTTGCGTGAATGGCCACAAATGATTTTCCCTTAGCTATAGCCAAATGATATGTGCTCTGGACATATTTTACATGTGTGTACATGTGGGTTTCTGTGTAGAAATATGTGCATATGTTTGAATGTATTTACCTGTTTGTCAACTCCTACAGCATCTAGTCCGTTATACATAATATCCACCCAGCCATCTTTTGATGCCAGAACAAACAGAGACATCAAAGCCTGAGACAGAGTAAGAGAAGAAGGGGTAAAACAGAAATACTACACTATAGGGATTACAAAAACTTAATATTGAAGCAGTTCCACAAAACATTTATGTATTTATTGATCGGGAAGCATTTCTGAAGCCTCACCTGTCCCAGGTTGTCAAAGTTGTACTTGTGTCTAGCCCATTTGTAGCCTGCCTGCCAACAGTCCGTCTTGTTGAAAATGTTACTGACATCTTCTCCTTGACAAGCAAAGAACTTCCCCTTGAAGAGCTGGGGAGAAAAACACCGACATGCCCTTTATTTAAATGATTAATGCTGAGGGAAAGCATTTACATACATACAATGAAATATGTATATATTTCATATGTTGTATATTTGCAGAAGAGTCAAGATCTTTGTCCAGTAACTCTACTCAACAATCCATATTATCCAGTTGTTTTTTTGTTGTTGTTGCTTTTAATTGTAGAGCTCTAGTTGGGCGACATCTCTGTATGACATTCTTTTATTAATAAAGAGTGTGTTGGTTTCCAGCGGCAGACCGCCGTCTTTTGGCTGCAGTGAGACCAGCTAGAAGTTCACGCCTGCAGTTGAAGTTCCACTCAACAGTGCTGAGAGGTAGCACTGTTCATGACGACAGGGAGGTGTCTCCTCAACAGGGTGGAAAAACAGCAGAAACACTTTTCCAGAAGCGTTTAACGTCCTAACAGAGTCACATTAGCTGGTTTTCTTTGAGTTAAGCTAAGCTAACTGGCTGCTGGCTGTAGCTGTATATTTACTGTATAGGCCTGAGTTTGGTATCGATCTTCTCATCTAACTCTCGGCAAAATAAGCATATGTGCCCGAAATGTCTAACTATTCCTGTAATGTGTTTTTTTTATACTTTTTATACTCTCTGACCCCTTAAGCTTTTTAAAAAGATATCAGACACAAATAATAAGTTAAAGGTATCTTTCGTCCAGAACAAGACTTGGCAAACTGTCCCGTCAGGCTGTGTGAGCACCCTGGTTTCAGGTTATAAAATGTTAGATTTAGACAGTAGCTGGATCAGTACAAAATACAGCAGTGGCTAATTGGTATAACATATATCACAAGAAATTGTGGGTTGCTGAATGGCCACACTTGTATTAGCAACATTTCCAACACCGGAGGTTATGGACTGTGCAGAGAATTCCATGGATGCCTTTTAACGTGTGACAGCTTCCAATTACTGCCTCATGGTATCGTCATAGCCATTAACCCTTCATGACACTACTTTTGTGCACAGATGGTTTATGGACATAAGCATGCTAGATAGACAGGAGCCTGAACTGCACCAAGGGCAAAGAGCTCATTGGTCGAGATTAGTCCTTGGGCTGTTAGCCATGAAATCCTTATTGTGACCAGATAAGCATACTTAAGTGTCCTAGAGTGTGAGTTATAACATGGAGAGTGCATGGAAAAGCTATTTTTCTGCAAAGAATCTGTGATGTATGTACAAACAAGATGGGACAGGGGACAGTGAATAATTGTGGGAATATTTGTCACATGTCAAACTGTTGCAGCGTGGTAGGAGGAGGGTAATGTTTCTGTGCCACGGCCGGCTAGACTGCGGTCTCACTGCCTCTTTGTTTTCTCATTATTTTCTCCATCCCTTCTCCTCACCCTTCCTTTCTCACCTGTACTCCCAAGATGCCAAAGATAATGAAGAAGGCGCAGCAGATGACCACGATGTTGCCGATAGGCTTCAGCGATGACATCAGGGTCTCTACCACCAGCTTCAGCCCCGGAGCTCTGCTGATCACACTGGAACACAGCGTAATAATAGGATATTAGTGTAATGTGTGTTTGAGTGTGTATGTTTGTGCAGGTCACTAACAGTACAGCTCATACCAGATGGAGCAGGGTTGCCCGCAGCGTTCCAACCCACAACCCCCACGCACCCCTAGGCCCTCACCCTGTCTGCACACACACACACACACACACACACACAAATAAACCCTTTCTTTTTTCTTATTTCTTTTACCACAGTCAGAAACTTTTTCCTCATTTGCACACATTTCAGAACTTTTCAAACCAAAAACACTTGTTGGCTTAAAGACAAAATCACTTTCATCTGTTCCTGCTTTTCTTTCTTTTTCTCTCTTTCACACCTCTTTCTGCTTCCTTTCAATTCTGCAGTCAAGGAAACAGACACATCTAATTAAGCCAATGGACTGATGAGGATGTTTAATTAGTGCCAGCATGGCACCCAGCACCGCACTGCAGCTGAGCTTCTCCGACGGGGTAAAACACAAACACACATACACACACCTGCCAATGCGCACACACACTTGTCTGCCTAGGCTTTCACACAGGAAACATGAAAAGGCCTAAAAGAGGAAAACGATATTTTACAGGCAAAGGTGACAGTCTCTTCTGCCTTTGTCTTTTAGTCTTGTCGTGTCTCTGTATGTTTTGTATGTTTTCCCAGTTGAGTAAAGAAAGAGTCAATAACGCATTATGAGACGACATGAGAAAATAAAAGGCCAGGGCTGAACAAGGCCACTGATCGATAGCCCTGATCAGAGAGGCTACACGTCATCACTTCACCTCACTGCCCCTCTTAATGTTCTATTGAAAATGGGGTGTAGTACCACTGCTGACCTATAGAGAGTACTATTGTTCAAGAGCTACATCTGCATGTGTCTGCTTTCAGGTTTGAGAACATAGGGCACAGATCTTCAGTCCACTTTCAGTCTGTTTGTCTGGAGAGGTGTTTACCTCTCTATTTATTATGACACAGAAAACACTGCAAGGGTCAGATGTTTTTAAAGGCTCAATTATTTGCTCATTTGAATTTTTCTCCCTAGATATGGGCAAACTTGCCATCCTTTCATTGGTGCGCGTCAGGGTGAGAATGTTTTTGTCCAGTGGCCAAATGGCTAGTGAATGTTTGACCAGCCGTTCAATAGATTACCATTGGTGTTGTGCTTGCATATTTTACCAGCATATGTGCCCTGCTCTCTAAAGACTTTCGAGAGTTAAAATGTGAGGGGATGAAGAAAAACTAGCTTGAGAAAAAAACATCATAAAAGTGAAGCAAGAAAGAAAGAAAAATATGCAACTTGTTGGAGAAGTCAGTGAGTTTTCAGATCTCATCAAGGGCAGAGAAAGCACTGTTTACAGCCGCTACCCGGCTCAGTCCCTCAGATCCCACATTACCTTCAAAAAAAGATGTTTCCACACATTGCTGCTTTGCATATGAAAACCCCAAGCCAACCTCTCTATCTCTTTACATCATGTTCTCCTTTTGAGCTCCACTCCGACAAGTGAAAAGGCTTATTAAGGAGGGGAACGGAGTAGAGACGAGCTTCTTATTATGAGTCAATACACTCTGATGATGCGGTACGTGAAGGACACACACTGCGATGGGCTCCTCTCTCCACAAAGTCTATTTGCATATGACACGAAGTTAAAAAAAAGGATGAGGAGGAGCTGGATGGAGGGAGCCAGAGGGAGAGAAAAGTTAGCTCTCGCTTCTTCTAATCTAGCACTCTGCATAATTTCATAGCCGTTCACAGCGTGTCCTTGTTTTGTGTGCTACACAAAGGAGCAAGAAGGATGCACAGCACCTGCACACATGCACCACCAGTCTCTCTCTCCACCACCAGCATATCCCTCATGCTTAGGAAAAAGAACAACAAGCAAGGCAATAAGTGGCAGGCATGTTCCCACAGTGCAAACACTGGGTGTAATTAAGAGACGTGAGGAGATAGAAATAGGGAATAGAGGGAGGAGAGGAGGGCTGGCGAGTTGCAGGGGTATAGAGGGAATAAAAAATGAGGCAGCTGCTATTTTATCGCTTTTTTTGGTCTAAACTTTGTTCCTGGCTGCGTAAAACTTCTTTCCCGCTCTCCTCTCTTTCAACCTACAGCTGTCCTTCCACTTCAGCTGTCAAACTATACCACTCGCTGTTCTTGTGCCCGTTGGCAAAAGTGAGTGAAATGCTAATGTAAACTGTAAGCTGATGAATTCAGGCGCCGCACAAACACAATATAAACGTCTTGAAGAATGGTAATTATGAGCTGAGTTAATTGGCCAACGTCAGCGCTGTCACACACAAGGCGTGAGGGTCAAAAAAGCGTACGCACATTGTGAGAAAGCACATAAACTACCCAATGGAAGCCTTGGGATAATTACATCACCGTCAAGTGACGGATGAGCTCAAAGGCTGTGCCGACAGGGGTCAACCACAGGAGGGGAATTGTCAATAAACAGACCTGTTGGCCAGCCGCGACCCCACAAAGCTGTTAAGATCATTCTGCTGTGTGGCAGGTACAATTAATGGATACACCCCTGTGGTGTGGAGGGGTTGGGGTTTCTGGGCTGCAGCTTGAATTGTCGATGAGGTGTAGGTGGTGTTGTGCTGACATAAAAGTGCCATTGGGTGACACAGGGTACTAACTCCTGGGCTTCCCCGAGGCCGGCCCTCAGCTCAGGTTGTGGGCTTGATGAATGGCCGCAGAGATGTGTGTGTGTGTGTGTGTGTGTGTGTGTGTCCTGTTAAACAAAGCTGATGCATCATTCTGTCAGGCACACGGACGAACACACATGCTCGTCCACCCCTGTGGACGCTCCCTTGTGCAATGTAATGCCAGTCATTAATATCTCTAATGAGAAACGAGCACACAAACACATTCACACACACAAAGTCACCAGCCTTGCTGCGATAGTACACACACACATGTAGCAAGCGACTCAAGAATATGATGATGCTGCTGCCTGTGTGAACCCCCACGTGCCCTGCACTGCCAGAGGGGGAAACACAGGCAAGCTCATATTTAATGCAAACAGCCGGTGAGAGCGAGTCTGCCGCAATCAGACTGGAGTGACAACAAGCTGATATGGAAACTCACACAGAAGCACTATGGGTGACAAAGCTGTGTCTGCCTGGTGTGGTATGTTTGACAGACATCATTTTGGAGAATTTAGGAAGAAAACTTTTTTTTAACTTTATAGCTCTGAGCTTTTACTCATGAAAATGTCAGAGGAATATATTCTTAGGGAAATTACTGACTTATTATGTAGCCAGTAAATATGCATGTCTTTATCTACATCTAACAAACAGTTAGTTTAGTTATGTTTTCTTAAGAAGCTTGGGTTTAACTTGATCTGTTTACACAGAAATTAGACTATTAGCCAGAATTAAACTATTTGGGCAGTTGATTAGTAATGAATTCCACTAATGATGAAGAATGAATAAAATTTAGGTTACCAACTTTCTGTTTTGTTTACTGACTTTATAAATCAGGAGCAGAGCTTATACTAATATAGGTCTGTTTTCATGTTTTGATAGTCACAAAACGTCATCTTGAGCTGTGTATTGGCAATAATCTAGTGATACTATACTGCGAGACGTGGACAGGTCGGTTCTGAAGCCGGTTTCTTTCTTAGCAAGTCTAAATGTTGGCAAATAGGAGTGGTCCCTCACAGACGACAGCAGAAAACAGAACCTGGCAAACCTTACCAGTTGAGGGTGAGAGACAGAGACTGAGGCTGTACCTCCCTTTAGGCCTCAATATCTTATCAAGCCATTTTTGTATTCATCATGAAGAAGTGAAACTAAAATAAATAGGCTATAGATTGATTGAGATTGTGATGTAAGGCATCAACAATCTAGTTTTGTAGAGACTGTGATATTTAATGGCCTCTTACTTCTGTTTCCAAACTTCACAGTTATGCAGTCAATAATGGCTATGCTGATTGGACGAATTACTTCACGGGGCTCTTCCTTGAGTGACATATTTTAAACAATGCAACTGAGTTGTGAGTAGTTAAAAAGTCTGATTTTGATTAAGTTAGTTTTTGGCTTCTGTTTACAATTGCAAATGCATTATAATCACCATTTTGAAACCTGTGTAGAATCTTTAATGCAGTATTTTGTTTAAATGGTACAAATGGAGAAATTCATAGGCTATTTACAGTCTGGCTGTAGTCCACAGGGCATTTCAACCTGACTATAGATTTTTAGAGCCAATGTACGGGGTATTTGAGTTTAGGATTCTGTGCTCACTGGTCTAGCTCGGTAGCTCTCTTGGCCTACTTCCCACAAAGTTTCAAACTGGCTACTACTTAAATAAGTGACCATTTTAAAAGTGTATTGTATATTTCTATACCACTTTTTTTCAGAGGCAGTTTTAGATGCAACAACTAGTCACCAGCCTAATACATCTGGTCAAAATAGGTAACTAACAAACATTTATTATTTTAATAAATAGATTTGGTTTATGTTATTAAGTTTTGCAGAAGCACTGCAGTGCCAACTCCAACTCCACAAATGCTGTGTTCCCAAACAGTTCTTTGTTCACTACTTAAACGGAAATAATAATTCCACTCTGTGTTGACCAGACTGAATTATCTCAGAGTTTAAAGTACATGCAGTACCCTATCACCAAGCCATGCAGTACACCAACAGCAGCACACTAATAGTTTAATAGGCTATATCCTTTAATGCTGTGCTCCTCCTTTTGGATTGAAAGTTAATAACTACCTTAAAAATGATTTTATAGTATTACTTTCTCGTAACTCCATCTGCAGCCACAGGGGATGAGAGAGCCAAGCCACCAAGCTCAGCTTTTTCCTCTTTCTTTTTACGCCCTCTCCTGTTTCTCCTTCACTTTTTCTCTCTGCCATTTTTAATTTTTCTCAAACTGAAGATATCCCTCCCTCGAGAAGTGGTTGCCCTTTGCTCCCGAGAATATTTCTCCCCAAACTTAAAATTTGTCCAATTTCCTCCCATAATTGCTACATATTTTCTAATCTGACTTTAAAACCCTTCCGTACTCGACATTAATACAGCCTCAGCCGCAATGCCCTCTGGGGATTAAATAAGGGAGGGCAAACAGCAGAATGACTTAGAGACAGAAGATTCAGCAGCAGTTAGAGTCAGGTACCCTTTTTAAGTGCTCACTTTGTCACCGCTGCACCAGATCTAATTAGAAAGGCCCTCGTTTGACAACCAGTGGCACCAAACCAAATTCTGAAGTATGTTGAAGTACGCTGTGTCCTAGCACTTACTTGCAGGAGCTGAGAGTCTATGTTCATTTATAGGAGAGAAGTTATTATCGTTTCTACTCTCTTTCTCAGTTTTCAGTGCCACAGCAATCCTCATGTCAACTTACACAAAAAGGATTAATTTGAGTACATACAGTGACATATAGGCTGCGTTTCATTAGTAGTTCCACTTCCCCTCGTTCACTTCCTCTCAGCCCTTGGTATGACGTAACAGCATACGTCGCACGGAGGCCACTTGGAGCGCAGAGGGAAAGTGGGCGGGGGGGAGCGGGGGATTTAAATGAAACGCACTTGCCCTTACTCGGCGTTATAGCGGCAATGACGTAAACTGCAATGCATTGTGGGTGATATCCACCTCGGAGTGACCATCGTTGTTCACTCGCTCCCTCAGCCCTCCAAGGGTCCATCTCACCAAGTTCACTTCAGTTTTCCAGACAATTGGAACGACACTTATGATGGCGGCGGGGATTCCCCCGATGGCAAGTGCCGAGGGCAAGTGAACGAGGGCATGTTGAACGACTAATGAAACGCAGCCATACAGATTTAAATTTGTGAATTTGGCCCAAATTAAGTGAATGAGACCCAATATTAATAAACTGGAATCATCCTTAACACACGTATCAAACTATGCACACAAATGTGTAGACTACCTGTCTTGCTAAGACTGTAAAAACCACCACTCCTCATTGATTGCTGCTTGTTATAAAACTCTGTTATAGTATTCTTGAGCATAGGTCAGCATAGCACATAGTGGATAAAACACAACCTCTGCATCATTTCACTCTGGTCCAACTAATCTATTGATTTGCCTGCTGTGTGACAGAAATATACGGAAGCCCTGAGAAAAATTTAAAAAAGTCTGATTCAAGTTTTTATCTCTTATGTTTATGACTTCAGAACAGGTGAAAAATGGTTGTGCCACAATAATTTTCCTTATTTTTGTGAAAACTGGTGAAATTACAAGTTTTGGCAGGTGGAAAAAGGTTCTTATTGTTGTAATACTCACTTTTGCCACAAGAGGCTGAAGTGCACCACTACCCCTGTTTCTAAATAGGACTAAAAGCATTCATGTTTTTTTTCTAGGTTTCTTGGAATTTCTCCATGCACTCTAAACACAAAGTATGTATATTGTTTGTTAGCAAGTCATGTAACATTACTGTCATGTCTTTCTTTTGGCTAGAAATGTATTGTCATTGCCGATTAATTTTGGAGTCTGACCGAATCTCAGCTGGGTTTCGTTTGATGTCACACGAACAGTGTGAGCACTCAGGTCGTGGCTTACGGATCGGACCGTACGTTGTGAACACATAAATCGTGAGCTTTGGCTTCATATCGCATGTACAGTAGGAGTAGAAATTAAACAATATCTGTTCACAGATGAAAAAAACTTATATTATCCTGGCAAAACCCCTTTTTCTCACCTTTTTGGAAGTGATAAACACAAGAGAGAAAACAATTTAGATCAGACTCAGCCTCTCAGGGCTTCCGTAGAAGAATGTACATAGAAAAACAAAGAGTGTCCTTACAAATATACCCAAACATAGTGTCAAATTATACAGTACAAAATCACTACCTACTAAGTACACTTCCCTAAGTATAACAGTATGAACTCAATAAAGAAAGTAATACTTTTTGAAGGCAGGGAGAGCGAAATAAGTCTTAGCACAAGATTTCACTTTTATGTTAAAGGTAAAAGTTAAAACAGAATGACAGAAAAGATCAGTGGTGTTTATTAGGAAAATTTGGCAGAATGAAAATTAATATTTGATTTTCCTGCTTTTCCTGCGAACTGTGATAAATATTCAAGGGAGGGCAAAAACTTGAGAGCTCACCTTCACGAGATGAAACACCGAGCATGTGGCTGTTAGCCAAGTCGAGCATGAAGCCACACGCATGCAAATGGTACACATGCAAACACACATACACTGAGGCTAAAACTAAAGAAGTGCGCATGCGTAAAAACAAAAAGACACACATTGTTCATCGTCTCTGTCACACACACAAACACACACATATTTGGAGATGTAAGTAAAAACACAGCCTCCAAATTGGTGATTTCCGCCTTATTTCCGCTCAAATAAACATAACTGAGCGACTGTGTACACGCTGACAATATCACACGCATGAATGCACACTAAAATAAATGCCTGCACATACAAAAATACACACACATCTCCCAAAAGTTCCCAAAGGTGGTACATGTCAGAGCTGAGAGAAAGCTCTGTTTGTTTCCACCTCCTTATTAAAACAATACATCCACACCAGGAGCTTTTATCATCCTCTGACACTGGGAAATGGAGAGGTTTAAACCTATAAGATTGGGTTTGTACCCAAGACTTTATTTTATGATTCCTATCAACAGTTTCAGGGGTGGTTGTCTTTCTTCTCAGCGTGTTTTGTTTGTCCACACATTTCGGCAGTCCCTGGGAGAGACACTTACCGTAGTGGCCTCAGGGTCCTCAGCAGCCTCAGAACTCTGAGCATTCCCAGGATCTTGGTACCAGAGTTGGAGATGAGAAACACGAGAATGTCGATGACAGAAATCGTCACCAACATCCCATCCAGAACGTTCCAGCTGCTCTTCAGGTAGGCCTTCTCCCCGAAACACCAGCCCAGAGCTACAATCTGGACACATATAAGGACACAGAGGCATGGTACATGAACATATATCAGAGTGCAGTTAGTGTACTGAGCAGACGACACAATGGGTAAAACTGCTGTGGTGCCGATCTTGTTGGGATACATTTAAAATGTAATATTAACTCCAAATGTGAGTGGTATAAAATGATACAAGAATCAGTAATTCAATATCTAATTTTTTGTGTGCGTGTTTGCAGATTTGTTTGTTATGAAGCCATCTTCTGTATTTGTTAGGAGTTGATGCTTAACGTCCTGTATGCACAGCTTATTGACTTTGCAGAGCGATTGTTTACTCAGAACTTGGCAGCGAAGATCATAAAAGCTGCAAGCGCTTTCCAAACCTAATTTCTAATTCCATAGGTTCCACTCATCATTTATTCTGCCCATAAAGCAATTTGCATTCCAGAAAATAATAGAGACTGGCTGGCTTTGTGCTTTTTACCTCAAACTTATTAAATCAGTGCAGGACGACTATTTTTGCTTTCATGCATTTCTAAACACCTAATGTAACTGAAAAGATGAGAGAGTAAGGGAGAGCGGGGGATGGATAGATTTACATTAGTCGATGCTAATCAATGCATAACAGTACATACTGTATATGAATAATGTGGCAGGGGAACCATCAAAGAGGCTGATCAAAACTTATCAACAGAGAAAGGTCACTGAGAGAGTCCTGACAGCCTCGACTGACTCTTCAAGTACTTCATTGTTATGCTTAAAAGTTTGAGTTAATAACACTTTACCAGAGTATTTCCATTTTCCATACATTATTATTTTATGGCACTAATTTCAAAGTCATCTATGTTATAGTAAATAATGTAACAGCCATCGGATAACTGTCGGTAGCAGAATAACAAAAACAACATTAAAATCCATCCGGTAGCTGCGCCTTCTTACCGGGACGAAAGAATTAGGGGATTGTTGAAAGACGGACCTTTTCTTGTGGAACACAGGGTGTCACTTACCAGTACGCTGTTGCATATGCTAACTGTATTAGCTGTATTCGCACTAGTATCTCATAAGAAAGGGGGGGTTTAAACACTACTAATGCAGGAGTGGAGGAACCAGTGGCTCACAGCCTCAATGGAGGCCAGCTGATTTACAGCGGCTCCGACCAGGACTCTGACTCTAGGGAAGAAGACACGGTGGGTTCAGGCAGGGACATGAAAGGAATGAGACAGAGGAAGAGGAGCGAGTTTGAAGTGAGTTAATTTGTAAGAAGCTGTTAGCATTATACCTCCATCGTATCTAAGTCTGCGACTATTTGTTTTTGTGAAGTTATTTGTTGCGTGTTTTGAATGATGAGACTTATGCGATGTTATACCATGTTGAAAATTAAGTAAATGTTCCATCTCCTTGCTGGTTGTTCTGACACATTCAGGTTCATTACCGCTTTTTTAACAGGCGACTGTTAAAATCTGTATATTTAAATAATTTAATTAATATACATAAAGGTGTGTCGACTAGTCAACTATTGGCTTTATCTAACGACTACTAGTCGAGTAGGAAAATCTTTAAATGGGGGCAGCAAAATGTCCTACCTAAAGCATCAAAAGTACTCCATGTGACTGATATATTGTGATTACATTATTATTAATACTGTTGTATTAATTTTGCAGCATTTACTGTTGTAGCTGGTTTAGCTGTAGTTTAGCTGTGGTTGGTTTTAATTTTGTCCAGTGGTTCCCAAACTAGAGGTTTGCCCCCCCCCTTCAAAGGCTCACAGGATGCATCCATCAACGGGGCAGGAAAGAAGAAATATACAAAGTTCTGCTGCGCATGTTTCTTTGGACTTTTATCTAATCTTTGATTTTTTGTGAAATGTCACAAGCCAAAAAGGTCAGGAACCACTGGTTTAAACTTTTCAGTGTATTATGTAAACTGATCATGTTTTTTCTTATCTTTAAATCTTTCTCTGAAAGTAACATCAGCTGTTACATAAATGTAGTAGAGTAAAAATCATATATTTCCCTCTGAAATGTAGTGGGACAGAAGTACATGAAAATTGTACTCAGGTACAGTAGATGTACTTGGTTACTTTCCACTACTGGAAAACTTAGAACTTAACTTTTTAACTTAGAATGCTGGACTCTCTCACTTGTAATGGTGTATTTTTAGTTTGAGTCCAACACTTATGTAAGTGAAAGATCCTAATAGTTCTTCCGCTACTGGTATTATTATTCTACAGAATAGAAATTTAATTAAATAGTTCCTCAAAACCCACAATGTTTTGATTTGGCAACATGTCTGCTGATAACCAATCATCGGTTGTGTTTTTTGCACGCCAAGATTACTTGAAAACTAAATGATGCAACCAGTGCTCTGTGTGTGTATGTGTAGTGTGTGTGTGTGTGTGTGTGTGTGTGGAAGGCCCTACGTCCGTGAGTACGCCAATTGCACTGAGGCCAGAAATAGAGACAGAGACTTTGAATGAGTGACACCCGTGAACTTTCCTCCCCTCTGCCTCTGCCTCTGCCTCTGCTCACTCCTGCCCACGCCTGCATGGACCTCCATTCAAAGCTGGTCCATTTGAATACTGGCGAGACAATCCTCCACTTAGCATTATGAAACAGCCCTGAGAGTGCGTGTGTGCGTGTTGTGTGTGTGTTCACCAAATGTTTGAGTCTCAATCTCTCATTCTCTTCCTCCCCTTCCTCTCCCTTTGCTCCCTCTTAACTCTGTTTTCATTTGTATTTTTGGGGGCTTACGGTACATGCAGGTATCAGGCAGACTGTATTTTCTCTGCAGCTCTGTGTCTAAGCGGTTTTTGGAGTCTGGTTCGGGTTCTTTCATTTTATGCAAAATTTTTGTCAGTTAACACAGATGTGTCACACCTTGTTTCTTTCTAAGATGGAGACGAACTCACTCCTTCCACTAGCTTAGGCTTAGTAGCCTAAGTTTACACATAATCCATGATGATGCAGATATAGAGAAACAGAAATGCATGGCAAAAATAACATATTGTCAATATTTTAGAGACCCCCCAAAATTTCAGAAATTATGTTTTCAGTAGTTTGCACCCTGCATAATGGCTAAAATGACCAAAATCTGTCACAAAACTTGCACTGAGGTTTAAAAAACAGAATGTCTTACCTTCAAAGTCATCTCAGCCACAAAGATTGCTGTGAAGATGTAGTTGGACAATTTGAGGAAGATCCGCTCCTGCAGTAAAGAAGGCAGAAAGACCTGGTTGAGCTGAGGTACAGTACATGCTACTGTTATAGCACCAATAGCAAATAATAAAAGAGATCACCTGAATAATGTATGAAGGAGCTATTTCACAAACTGTTTTCCCTGTTGCACTCACTCATGATGGCTGACAGGCAAATAGAAAGTTTACTGCTTATTAGCACTGCAGGAAGTTTTCAAACAAGGCATCTAATCTTTAGGCCTAAAATCTTATATTTCCATTTATATATGACAATGTTATCCACAGTTTTGTTTAGTGCAAATAGAACAAAAATTGCCTGAATCAGCTGAATTGCAGTGGGAACAAGTGGCATTATATCACCTGTGTAACACTGGGCTTCAGTTGTGTTGTGCAACAAGAATTTAAGGATGAAATTGGCAGTTTTCCAATGACAGGAGCATGTTGCATCGGGCCGTCAATTGTTTCATCAAAGATACAGTCAATAAAAAAAACAAGCACCGTCATTTTGTTTTGTGAGCGTGCACGCAACACAACCATCAGGACCGAGCTATTAGATTTCCATCTATACACACATTACTGCACTCCATGCTTCCCTAATTGCCAGAGGAAGCATGGCTCAGTGGTGTGTGTGCAGGCCGCAGAGGATGGGAGCCTATTTACTGAGCTAAACAAGGACTGAGGAGAGAAAACAAGCAAGCTAGCAAGAATAAGATCCCTTCACTGCCTGCTTATTTACCCTACTTCCCCTCTGTCTGAGGAGACACAACCCCGTCCTGCCACTGACTGTCTATGTACTGCATGTGCATGTCTGTGTGTGTGTGTGTGTGTGTGTGTGTGTGTGCATGTGAGCGGGTGTAGGTGGCTGCCTTTCCCACGGCCTCCGACTACCATCACCCATGCTCCGAGGAACACAAAATCACACACACAAACACAGACATGGCAGTCCTGCAGCGTTTTTCGTGAAGTCTATGGGAATGTTAGGCATGACATCACTGGGAATGCTGCCGTTGAGAGGGTTTATAAATTCCAGGCTTGACAGCAGCCATTCCTGTCCTCTGTCAACGAGTTTCCATACTTTCATTCATTACGAACTAACAGGCTTGTGGTAGGAGATGAGATTAGAGTAGAAGTGGGGGGAGATAGGGGGGGAATCATGCCATAATTAGACATGAATTCACAGTTTGCCTAAATTTGCTGTAGCTGGGCGGTTGTCAGTGGGTGAGCTGGCGACCATGGGTGAGTCCTTGCGGGCCCAGGGTATTGCCTGCTTGGTTCCCTTTCCTGTCTTTTCATCTGTCCTATAATAAGGCAATAAAGCCAAAAAAAATACTTAAAACAGGCTTGTGGTAGGAGATAAGATTACGAGTTTAGACTTTAGCTTGGGCGGTTGAGGAAAATTATGTAAATAGTTGTAGCTATGTTAGCTGGCAATAAAAAACTTTTCATATGTGGCTATTAATGTTTATTTATTTATTTGTATTAGTCCAACTGAAAGGAAAAAAAAAAAACTAAAAAAAAAAAAATTTTTAGACATGAATTCACCAGTTTGCCTAAATTTGCATGTCAGCCTGTATATTTTGGCTACACAAAATTGAAAATAAATTAATGGCGCCTTTTAGCTAGCTAGCTAAAATGAAGCACAGTATCAACTGGAAGGAACTAAATGATAAGAAAAGTCTAAATAAAGAATTAGACATACATTCAGAATTGTATCCAAGTCTAAACTGTAACACATACGTTAGCATGTCAGCTGTTTCCATTTTAGATACCAAAAATAAGCAAAGTATCAACTTTAGGTTGTTTTTTTCATGTTATTTGACTTACTCGACTTAAATGAACCAAATAATAAAATAAACAATGTTGAAGAAACTGAGCATTTGCTCTCTAGCGGGCTAAATATAGTTTGCTAGCTAAAATATTGCACATAAAGAGCACATAATCAACTCAGTCAAATAAGTACCCTAATTAAAAAATGCTGAATGACAATTTGCCCGAGTGCTTTCCCAACAATTCTCAATTTCAGGTGACTGAAAGAAACAGACAGGAATCAAGGGCTCAAACGAATTAAAACATTTCCCTTTTGCTTCCTTCTCTTTCCTTATCTCTAACGGTGGTGGTGTTATTGCCGGTTCGTCGCCTGGATTCCAGTGTGCCTGACAACAACTCAGGGCACCAAGCAAGCCGTCAGCCTGAAAAGATCATTGTTGCTCGGCTTGTTTTGAAGTCATGCAACAGAGGCCAGCAATGACTTAAACTGAGAGGCACTTTGCTTAGTTACAAAACAGTGAAAACAAGAAACCAAACACTTCCAGTAGGTAATCTACAGTGCTCCACTAGGCATTGTACACTGGCAGCCCCTAGATGCTGGAGACGCACAGTATCTCTCTAACTTTTAAGGAAATGTATAATGATAGCAATAATTTAGTAGGTCACTGCACTGTTACATAAAAATCCTGCTTAATGCAACATTCAATTATGCCATTACAAAGCCTTCCCGTATTCCTGAGCAGCACAAAACGAGAGTCAACCCACACTTCCTAGAAAGCTTTCATCACAGACAAGTGTGCAGCGCCATCTCTCTATCTTAATGTTGTACGGAGCAGATGACGTGGATGCAGAAAACTTAGATTGATTGTATTTTATACTGTTAATGCTGATATAATTCAATTTTAACCTCTAGACAGTGATGTATTGTCCCCTAGCTCAATTAAGAATAATAAATCGTAATAGGTGGTATAATCATCCTCAATCATTTCCACTGAGCTACAGTATCCAGGCAACCTCCAGCACCAAACCAAAACAGCAAAGGACTGCAAGCCAAATACAAAGTGTGTGACATAACTTCCAGGACAATAAACTAATTATTCAGCCAGCATTCCACACTAAAATGTTGTGACTAAAAGATTTTATCTCTGTAACAATGAGTACATTTCTGTTTAAAGAATACAACACGTCCTCTGGCAGGCTGGCACCGCAGGTGATGTAAAGCAGGTACTTTAAAAGAGTAGCAGCGGAGTGATAAATTATACATGTTTGGTTGTTATACAGAGCCAAAACAGGACCAGCGAGTGGAGATCGATTCACAATCGGCTTCATTAATTCAAAACATCCCACACAGAGAAACAGATAGCATCATGCAATGACCACCCGGGCAAATTAGTTCTGGCGCAATAAGCATCACAGCTCAAACCCGTAATGACTGCTCATTCTCTTGTTTTGGGCTGCTTGCTGCGTCATATATTTCCATCTAATTTCAATAATGGCCTCAGGGTGCCGACTGGACACAGCGGCCACGGCAGGAAACTGACAAAATACATCTGCATCTGAAAATACTGCTCTCTGATGTGAATGTCAGTGTGGCTGCAGTGGTGGATTTTGTGCATTGTTGTATTTACATATGTGCGTGTGCAAAGGTGAGAGACATTAATTCATCTCATCTAGGTGTGTGTGTGTGTGTGATCTCTCTGCCCTGATTAGACCGGGCTGCCTGTGGGGCGGCCTCCATTTGTTAAACATCTCCTTTCCTGGACATTAGCCACGTACGCCAGCCCACAGATAATTGAATCAATTACAACGGCACTGTCTCCTCCGTGTTTCAGTCGCAAAACAAGCAGAATGGAGTGTTCCAGCGAGACCGAAACGCAATTAGGCCCATCCACGGAACACCTCGCTCAGCGAGAAAAAAAAAATCAAACAGTGATAATTATTGTGTTTATGCATGGAGTGGCTGGGCTGTGTTCTGCTGCTATTACTGGAAGTAGGAAAGGACATACAGTTAGATATATGTGTGTTTGTGTGTCTGTGTGTGTGTGTGTGTGTGTGTGTGTGTGTGTGTGTGTGTGTGTGTGTGTGTGTGTGTGTGTGTGTTGCTGCAAGGCATTCAGCCAGGCCTTCTCTATCTGAAGCGATGGTGCATTAACTAAGGAGGTGATGGTGTTGATGATGCAGTGCAGTAGATACAGGGGTATAGCACACATTACCCAAAGCCACTGGCTCACAGTCAAACAGGAGTGATTCCCTGCTTACACAATGTTCCACTCCATTTCTCTGCAGAGAGGAAACTACAGTAGTAATTCTGTTTAGGGGCGAGTATGTGTGTGAATGTGTGTTTGTTCCAGCAGCCATCAAGGTTGGACTTGCTGACAGGTACTTTCTCCCTTTTTCCTCCACTTCTGTTTGTACTTTCTTGAGCTGCCAGCAAGTTCCTTCATGATTGATTCTACACATACATTTCAGGTCTCTATCTCTCTTTACACACACACACACACACACACACACACACACACACATACACACACACACACACACACACACACACACACACACACACATAGATATGGGTATATGCTTCTTTGGCTGTCTACCAGTCTTTCCTTTTGACTCCACTTCTTTCGGTGTTTCCCTTAAAGACCACGAAGGCAACACACTCCGCATCTTTTCACAGGCTGAATTTACAGAGCTAACAGTCACAGTGTGTACTTAATCAAGTGTGTTTATGCTCTTAAAAATGATTTGAGACTCACAGCACTGGTGGGATCGATGTGAGGCCTCTCCATGGCGATAGTGATGCAGTTGAGGAAGATTATGACCAACACAATATGGTCAAACATCTTGTGGGTGATGATCCTATTGCACAGGATCCGAAACCTGACAGAAAATACACAGAAATTTGAAACTTCAGTGACACTGGATATTGACTTAACATATAAAACAAGCAAGGGTGTGTTTTGGTATGATAAAATGATAAATTACCCCACAATAACTGCTTTGTACATATAACCAGAAGCTACATATAAATGAATTTGTTTTATGATGTGACAATGCTTGATTAGGTTTAGGCCTCAAAATGACTTGGTTAGAACATTGTGGTTTGGTTTAAAATGACGACTTTGCTAAGGCTAGGGGACTTTCGTCATCATGGAGACAATAATAAACATGTGTTTAAGGTTAAGGAACGATTGTGGCCACGATAAAAAAAACAGCATTCACTGTGGGTTGGACATGGGAAACGTACAGGGGCTCTTTAAAGCAGCTACAAGCAACTTTCATTTCGTGTTGATTCTGGCGACCCCTGTGGACAAAAGCGGTAGTGTTCATACCGCATCAAGTCACTGATTTGGAGGGGAATCTGACCGAATCTGACCCAATGGCAGATATTAAGAATAACTATATTAAAATAGCCAATCTCCTCATTGATGGTCTTGTTTGTTTATGTTGGTCAACTGTAGTTGACTAGAAGTATAAAGTAGCATGACAATGAATATGCTTACATGCACACTAATTTTACTTTTATATAATAATATATATTTTATTATTTATATTTTTTTATTCCATATGTAGCATTTTCCGGTTAAGACATGTGGCTTGTGCTGATATTATTCAGGTTTCTTTGCACATGTATATAGCGCATTCAGATGTCTCATCTGTTTGTTTTTTTTACTACTGTTTGCAACACACAGTCTCTTACCTGTTTACAGCTTTGTGCGTTTTAGACAAACCAACTAGCCAACAGTTTGGAAGGCCGGAGTAAAGATGCATGCACAAAGGAAAAGCCCATAGAAACACAACTACTTTTAAACATAGTGAGAGATTTGGACATCAACAGCTTTTTGGACATAAGCAAATATGACGACAACAACCTCTTCAAGAATGTGGTTGAACAAATGAAAGAAGGAGAATGCGTTTGCACAGTCGAATAAGTCTGCCACTGGTGGAAAACTGAAAAAAACCTCTTTTGACGCAAAGAGGCAAAATGGCTCCATCTCTTCTACTTTTACCACGGGAGTAGCGTGACTGCATCTTGAAAAGGAGAGAAATTCCTCTGTAGGTCGGTACAGTACATCAATAATAGTTAGGTATCAGAGTATGCACAGCTGCAAACAAACTGGACTATTAGTGGAAGATTAATTTTAAAACAGCTTAGTGTGAATATTGTCTTTTTCAGACTGAGGGCAAAAAGTTGAATACTTTGTACATGTAAACATGTCAATGTAAATACTCATGGAAACACTTAATGCCAATCCAGATTGCAGTTTAGTACGGGCGGGTTCTATAAAACCTCAAACTGTATTACATACTGTACAAGGACATTTACTGAAACACTGTGTACACCAGTAATGGAAGATTCAATTTAAGAGAGCTTGTCTCATATAACTCTGTAATGAACCGCTGTACAATTAGAAGTCATTAATTATGCCTGACTTTCATTACACAACATGAAAAGGTTCCCAGGCTTTGAGCTTGTGACAACCGCGAAAGAAAGAGGGAACGCTTGTTATATATGGCACTGGAAAAGGATTTAACCGTGCATCAAATCTGCTTTGATGGCTCATATCTAAGTGTTCAGTGGGGGACAATATTGTGAGGCTGGGATCTGGATTTTTGGCTTTATTTGACAATGCAGACACCATTGTGTCAACACTGCTGAGTGTTTGCTGAGTCTGTGTGCATGTTGTGTGTGTGTGTGTGTGTGTGTCATCTGACTGTGGTGATCATTATGCATACAGTATACAGACTGGATGAGGTAATTCTTCTTTGATATCTGCACGCCAGAGCCTTGATGCTGAATTGTTTTCCTTAAGCAGGAGGGAAGGGAGGACACATTGCGAACACCCGCCTCTGGTGCCAGCTCTGCCTCCTCCGCCTCCTCCACATTTTGAAGGGCCAACGTCTGACTGAGAACTTTAATGTGAAGTTCAAATGGGCCCCAAGACTTACAAACACGCACGCACCAAATACCTGTCACCCCACGCCCCAGATGCAAAAATACAGTCAGACCTGGGATTTGGAATAATCACTGACATCTTGATGTTTATATATATAAAGATTTTGACAAGTGTTTGAAGTTTTCCACTCTAATGATATTTACTGACCTTTTGAGTTTTCTGGCATCGGTGCCTCAATTGCTTCTAAATGACAGCTGACATAATTGACTTAAATATTGATTAGTGTCAGTTTTGTACTTTTAAAATGTCACCAAGCACGTCCAAACACTACTCTCTTACAAATTCTCTCATTTAAAGTTGTAAATCTATACTTTCTGACTCTTTTTTTCCCACTAAATTTTCAGATTTTAACACAGTCAACCCACTCTTCAGTTTCTTCATCTTAATTTTTTAAGTCTTTGAACATCTCTGTGGTCTTTATGCACTGCATTTCCCAGAAGTCCCCTACCACTTCAACAGTGTAGGTGGTAGCGTTTGCTTGGATCCTCTCCCTGCTAAAGAAGTTTGAGTTTCTTGAGGCGGTTTCTCAGGCAGTGGCATGGCCTCTTTGTGTAGAATGGCTAGAAGAGATAAGAGCCGCTCATGCTAATTACCCAGTTCTTCTTTTTCTGTGCATTCCAAACAAACCAGAGCCATAAACCGCATCACTTCCTGTGTGCTGGATGACTGCTTTCCAAGAAAGAGCTGGCATATGCTGAGAACAGTTTGTGTATTCTTCAGCTATCGGCTGAATCGCTTTTATGTTACATCAGTCGGCACTGGAAAGTAGCAACACAGAGAGTTTTGACATAAATATGCCACAGATCATTACTTTCACCTCTTACTAAATTCTGAAGTGTCCTCCCTGCTGTTTATTTGTACTATTTTTATCTGTATCTTATTCTGTGCTGCAAAGATGACCCACTTCCCCCACAAGGTTCAGTCTAGTTCCACATGATCTCATCGTGTACTGTATGAGGGACCACGTGCACAACTCTCAGTGAGCCCCACACATCCCTGGTCCCAGTGTTTGAACACATCTTATCGCAGTGACTACATCACAGTATGCCCTCATAGCCGGGCCCACTCCTCCGCTCATTTAAAACTTCCCCTGCAGTAATCATCAGTAGCAGCGGTAACAACAGCAAGCACAAAGGCAGGTTGAGGTGAACTCAGGTCCATGTGAAAAGCCGCTGGACTCCGGGCCTCCCACCATGCTGCTGTCTCTTGATGTGATTGTGAGCACAGGCGGGTGTCCACGGTGGTTCAAGGCCAGAATGGGCGCCACGCAGAGCCTGTGTCCTCGGTGTCACTCTCAGCGACAGCCAAAGCTTGTGGCCTGCTGCGATTGAAAGCCAGCTAGAAGCCCGTTTTGAGCCAAGATCCTTCAGTTTTCTTAATACTCTGACAATAACAGGCTACAGGGAGCTTTTCCTATTAACCTTTTCCAAATTATATAATACAGCCAACAGAGAGGAGAACCATTCAAAACTTTTAAAAAGGCTCAAATTCACAGATAGACTAGGTCCTCAATGCAAATCAATGGAAAAAATATTCATACTGATAAAGATGCTGGCTGCCTCCCAGTGATTTTACCTTTAAATTTGAAATGAAATTTAAATTCTCAATTGTGGGAAATATAAACTAAATAATAAAACTGCTGTAGGACATATTTCACAAGTCTCTAGGAGAATGTTTCCCATGGCAGCCAACATTTGTCTCATTGTGTGCTACAGACTAAAGAACCTAATAGTGTATAGCTTATAAACACTGATACAAGTCATGTTTCATGCCCATACAGCGCTAGCGTTTTAAGCTATCTGCTACCTCACAACACTCAATGTACATTGAATCCTGCGATTTAAACTCATCATGGTGCGTCTTAACTCATTTGTAAGTCTGTCGATGGGGATTATTTTATACTGTTTCTTAAAGTCATACAATTTCAAACATCCACTCATTTGGCCATTACATGACACTGGTGATGGCTAACATTAAGTTCTCATTGGGTGGCTGCGGCGGGGGACTCATTGTTTGATGTTTAATTAGCATGTTGCGGTGCCGTGGCGGCAGGCTGGGGCCAGCATGTTCCTTGGTGTTGCCTTCACAGCCACATCCTCTAAACAGACAGCAGAGATGCACAGATCAAAGCCTCAGAAGGGGAGGAGGAGTGAGGGAAGAGGGGGGCGAAGGAGGTTGGGAAGCGTTGGATTCAGCACGTGGCTGAGATAACACGGAGCACTCAGTAAGAGAAACTCCCTTCCTCCCTTTGCTCCTACTTACTCACCCCTGACATGGCAGAAATGTGCAGATAAAAGAGACTTTTAAAGTGAGAATGTGGGAGGGAACAGAAGTTGATATAGGAAGGACAGAAAAAATTGCTGTGCTCACAATGCAGCAAAAAACCCTGTGCCATTACAGTCAGCATTATGGGATCAGTTAAATGCAATGTTAAGAATCCTCTTCTTGTCAAGAATAGGCTCAGACTTTTAATGTACACTGATAACAAAAGATCATTTAAAAAGTGCTGTGAACTGATTTATTCAAGCTGCCACAGGAGGAAGTAGTGTACAGGGGCGTTCCTTTTGGAAACTTTTAGAGTGCTGTGTACCCAGAACTTCCATGAATATGTAAAAACGCCCATATTATGGAAAAAGAATTACAGGCAAGAAGTAGAGAAGGGGAATAATACCTTGACTCTGGAGGGAAGAGGTAGAGTGACCAGCTGTCTCTCTGTCGACACCAATCGGGCTGCTTCTTCTCCAGCCAGCGGACCAGTCTGGCAAAACGACCCTGGAGGGATTAGGCAGTGCACAGTGCATTCATTATTCATATGTTCACAATTTCCTGTTGCATATTGTGAGCAACAATCATTCTCCACAGATAGAATGTGTTTGTTCTTACAACACTGTTTGTTTCATTAATAAAACAAGGTTGGTCAAAAACGGGGCCACCTACAAACAAACACAAGGACATGCTTTAGCCTGATATGATATGCAAATTAAAATGCATAGCTGAGATAATATATTTTTAAAAATGATTATATAAATGACCCTCAATTTAAGAATATTTCTTATCTGATGAAATTCATTTGGAGAAGGCTGTAAGACAGGGCTTCCCTCTTTCCCCACTCCTTTTTGCATTGGCAATAAGGGAGAAAACAATGAAACAATACAATTTAATTTGCATCTTTTAATGTATTTAACTAATATTGGAAAATCCAAATGATCTAAAATTGTTGTAAAGTTTGTTTATACCTGACTGTTAAAGCCCCTACATCATTAACCACAACCTGTACCATTATTGAAACCAATCCTTATTCAAACCCTAGAATCCCCCCCCGTCTTTGACATGCTTGGTGGGATATTTTCATCGTGAAGACAAGTACAAGCAAACATGCAGCCAGACTAACCAGGTTGGGCTCCTCTTCTGCATTTTCGTCTTCAGTATTGTCCTCCAGAGAGACGTGGGTGGGGCCCAGGACTGACGGAGAGCCCTTCCCATTGCAGTCGCTGTGCCCTGGGGGCCGCAAGTGGCCCAGTGAGGGCGGCCTGGAGCTGTGCATGCTGGCCGAGCGGTACAGATAGGGCACCTACACAAGGAAAGGGTCTAATGTAAATGCTGCAGTCTCATTATCTTTCTATCTATTCTATATTTGCTTTGTGCCGGGCTTTTAAATTGGTTTAGATTGGGTAAGTTCTGTTTCATGTAGGCTATCCCTGTAATGTCCTTTCGGTTTGTTTTCTCTTTGTCTTTGTAAAAAATTACAAAAAAACTGCACCCTGTTTTGTCCTGCAAAGCAACTTCCCTCCAAGCCAAAAAACAAGGGTCCTCCCCTAGTGTATCCCTGAGAGCTGTTAATGCAGGTTTCTTTTCCAGCCAAACATGACAGCAGGTGAGTTCCCTCATTAACATTCCATCAGCCAGAGGGGACTATTTATCCAGCAAATCCCCCTACTCTAATCTTTTCTTGGAAGCAAAAACCTGCCTGCAATTGACTTTCTATGGTATATGAGTAAAGAAAACCAAATTTAGCCTTTTGTGAGTGATAGTCATTTCTGAGTCAAGTTGTGATTAATGCTAACCATGTTACCTCAACTGGCGTTCTGCAGGAAGGTGTTTGTGTATGTCTAGGTCGATAAAGCTAGCAAACATTGTTGAGTTAAAATGTGTGCAAATATGTCAAAAAGGTCATAAAGTTTGTTTTTACACTCGTACTCTAAACGCTGTATATGTTCACTGTGGCATCTTCTGCTTAGGGCTATGACTAGGAATAACACTTTAATACATCAGAAGAATGCCATAAAGTCTGACAATATAATTTTAAGATGCACTCTAAAATATACTACTGTCAAGTGAGCAGGACTTCCAGTTTGTGGAGATTGTGGTATTATTGTAGTTTCTACCCCAATTGTGCTCCAAGTGAAATGTTATGCAGTACTACAAATACCCCAGAGAAGAATGAAAGGTAGAACCTGATAGACGCACAGCATCTACCTGCAACAGAGCATCAGGGGGCAAATCCATGGAGCTCCGAGTCTCTACTGACACCATCCTCCGGTGTCGGGGCCCTCTCTGTGACATGGATTCCGTCCTGGCCAGAGAGGCGTCATCGTCCTCAATCAACCCGCCTCCTCCTTCTCCTCCACCTTCCCCGTCTTCCGAGCTAGAGCCACCCTCCCCGGAGAGGAGAGACCGTCGTTCCCCAGACTGCCGCTTCTGGCGTTTGAGTGACGGGGCGCGACCCAGGCTGTTCCAACTGGACCGGCGGCTGGTCCAGCCGCTGCCGGAGCTACATGGGCCATGGGGAGATGAGCTCCGGGCACTGGTCTGCAGCGGGAGGACAGCCGGGAGGGCAATAGGAGGACAGAGTGATAAAAAGCAGGAGAGAGGAAAAGAATAACGAGGGACAGCAAGTAAAAGTGTTGATCTTGAACCTTAGCTCTCTGGCAATGTTGTTCTTTTATGCACATGAACCAAGCTGAATTGGATTGACTCGGCCTGACGTGAGCTGAATTGAATAGAGCTTCACGCTGACAGGCAGACAGCAGCAGATGTAGAGATGTGGGCTTATTTTCTCAGGTCTTTATCCCGATCATCAGCTCGTCAAATAAAGAGTGGCAATGGCAGCAGTAAGAAGAGTGTCGGACCGCACGCCACATTAATCACCATCAATCATTATGACTTCCACACATCAGCAGGACACATACAACGAATTCAGAAAGACACTCAGGGGAAAGCTGGGTGGCGGTGGGGGCTGGGGGTAATTCCTGGCACTTATCCCTTTACACATGTATTAATGCTGGCTTTCTGACATCCTGGAACAGGGTTATTACACTTGATAACTGCCACATGCTTTTGGTGTGTGTGAGAATAAATATACGAACCGGGGATTTGTCATAGCAGGCTGGGTCTATGGAGACGCTGCTGCCTCGACGGGACTCGTAGTCCAGGATGGGATCACCTCCGACAGGCAACTTGGGTACGGGCATGGGGGTGGCAGCCGTGTGGGTAATTACAGGTGGAGTCAAGCTGGTCTTCAGGTCCACGTGGCCATTTACAGGCACTACTAGTAAAGAGAGTTGGTTAGGAGTGGGTTAGAGCAAAGGGGATTGAAGATGACCGAGGTTTAACGTATAGAATAGGAGAAAATGAATGAGAAAAAAGAAATAAAAATGTAATAAAAACAGGAGGAAAAGCAGGAAGAGGTGGTGCACAGGGGGGAGTGCCACAGGGGTCCACCCTCTGTAACGTAGCACAGCCCACTTAAAAATTGATGCTTCATACTGTTACTGAGCAACATGAATATTTCAGCAGGGCATTAATCTTATGGGATGCGTGGGAGAGAATATTATGTTTGGCAGTAACACAAATACATGACATGCGGAGGGCAATGCAACTTTAATAACACTAATTCCTCCATCTTCCAACCTTTATCGGAGGTCTAGAAGATGTATATTAGGCTCTTCCAGCTATGTAAGCAGTTTTATACAGAGCATCTAAAGGGGCTGAAGGGGAGATGATACCGTACGTCTGGGAGTTGTACTCCATACAGTAGTGTTTCCAATGGGCTTTTCAGTCTGCGCAAACAGTAATCAGAGGGGATGGGAACTGGCGTATGAGGAATTATGGATGAGGCTGCTGTACTGGTTTGATGTTGCGCAAGGAGACAGCAAGGCACGTGCCCACTGAGTGTGGTCGAAAACCAATGGGGAAAAGACTGAGAACAGTAGACCGCAGACATGGAACAGGTGGGGGAATGTTTGCGCAGGGTTTACTTTAAATCCCTCCGACCTAACTTGCTGCCGTAGCGCAATATTTTACATACATTAAGTAGGAAACACAATATGTAATCTGCAGGGATCTAACAGAGATTAGAGAGGGGAATGCCAGCAGTTAACTGGGCAAACACAGATGGTGTTTGTAATAGGGGCTTAGATAAATCACAAAGCGTTGAGTTCAATCCTTTGCATTCCTCACTGATTCAAGCAGCAATGCAGTGTGTGTTGTCTGCATACATATGTGCAGTTAATGTGCATTCTTCACCTGCAGAGGCCGACAAATCCTTCTTGCTGCCGTTTACGTCCTCCATACTTCGCGCACAGGAATCGATCTCCGAACCTGATTTAGAAGCATCACCCTTGATACACAAAAGCACACACAAAGTGTTAGAGAAAAACACCTCTGTAAGTCTCAGTTTCTTAGTAGAGTTAACAGAAAGCAGGGGTGGAGGGGGCGTTGAAGTTGCCTCTGAGCACAGATCACTGCTTAGCTGTATCTCAGTCCCAAATGTCGCATCAATCCTTGTTCAGATCTGACCTAGAGGCAACCTCCCTCTTGTAAGCAGGCCGGTGAGCTATTGGTCTCCCTGATCCCAAAATTCAAAGGTCAAAGGGTACAGAGAGAGGGTGAGAAAGAGTAACTGTGTAAAGTGTCTTCATGCAAGGAGGCGCATAGAGAAACCACACTGAGACCCAACCAGGCAAATGCAACAAAGCAGTTTTCAGAGAGAACCTGGCCAATATATTGAGTTCAATTTATCGTGCAAAAACACTTTGGCCGCATAGTAATTCTTTTTACTTGCCATGACCCGTAAACAGCTACAAAAGAGCTTCAGTGTGGTTGCTAGATCTACAATTTTCACACTTCACAAACACACAACACACAGTGTACTTCTTGTGGTGTAGAGCAATCTGTAAATCAGCAACCCAGTTAGACTTTTGTCAGAACAGCAGAACTGTTTATGCCTTGTTTTGTTCTCTATCATTGTTCCAGACAGTGAAGTCAAAATGAGTTTTTCTCAGTATCTCACATTCACATATCTTCCTACTCCTCCTTACTATCTTCCACAGACTTGTCTCAGGCTCTTAATTATTCTCTTCTAGCCTCTGCTTCACACTGCCTTCCATTTACAAACCTACTGCAGTGAATCTCAGAGTTCCTGCTAGTATTTGTTGCACTATGCCAGAGCCTGCAGACTCCATTAATATGTGCAAGGGTGCCAGGTGGATGCTGGATTAATAGAATGCCGACCCAGTGAGTCAGACCTCTGTGGTAGCAAAGTGAATAAACTGTGTGCAGAAAAGCCTCGGGACCTAATCACCACGCACCTCCTTTTAAACTAACAAATTACTTTCTTGATACTTCCCATGAGTGTGAGAGAAAGACAAAGTGGGTGTCGATATACTGCATATTGTATTTGTTTACTGATGGCGTGTTGGGTATGGCTATCTTTGGGGCACTTATTTGCATTTTTTCTTCTTGTAGTTAAAGCCACTACTTGTGTGCAACAGACTGATTTTCCCGGACCTGTGAAGTGTGGGAAAATTAGGTAAGGAGAGCGGATGCTAATGAAGTAGGAGGCCAGTCAACTCAAGGGCTGATTGGAGGCTGCCGTGGTTGCCATGCTCTTCACGTTTTTGCATCTATTTATTTATCACAGTGGCTTGTTCATGTTTAAAAATGCGGCAGGAAACATGGAGCACCTGGGAATTTACTGTAAATTTGTCTGTCACTGTTATTGCTCGTTCTGTATTTAATCTTACATTGATAACCAAAAGGGGACAAACAGCAAACTTGCATATTTGAGCACCCGGAACCAGGCTCCTGGACTGTGTTAATGCTATCTGGACCTGGACTGTAGAAAATGTTCTACAGCACGACTACTCACTAGATCAAATAGACAATCCCGCATTACCACTATACTGAGGTCCCTTCACTGGCTCCCTGTTGCATATAGGATACAGTTTTAAACTCTCACCCTTACATACAGAGCTTTGCACAACCAATCTCCTGTATAAGTAGCTGAACTACTGCAACCTTACACATCACATGCTAAATTGCTAAAACGCACCCGCCTCTAAGACCCGTGGTGATTGAGCTTTTGAGGCAGTAGCGCCTAGACTGTGGAATGCTCTGGCCCCACTCTTGCGGTCTGTGGATTCTGTAGACAGACGTTTGGGTAACGTACATGTATCACGTCTGCATTTTATGTTTTTATGGCATATTGTTTATTGGATTTAATGCATGTGTATGTATGTATGTGTGTATATATACATATGCATATATATATATATATATATATATATGTTATGCTTTGTGTATGTTGTGTATGTATATATATTTATACACTGCTTCATTCTATTATGCATTGTGCCTCCGTTGTTCCATATTGCCTCTGTAAACTCTGTGACTTATGTACGGTGGCCGACAAGGGCAAACGCGCTGCAAACGGGCAAAACGCTGCAAACACGGGAATGATGCAAAACCAAAAACACACAAACACATAAAAACAAATGCAACAGAAAAACGCAGCAACAGAAAAATGCTGCAATCACAGAAACGAAGCAGAAGCACAAACTTACAACTATAATAATAAAAATAATAATAATAATATAATATTATAATATAATTATAATATTATAAAAGATTACGGCCAAGTGTTTAAAAAAGACAAACCTACCTTTTTACTCTCCTCTCTAAAACTTTCTTCTTTTTCTTCTTCTTCTTCTTCTTCTTCTTCTTCTTCTTCTTCTTCTTCTTCATCATCATCATCATGTCTTTCAGGTCTGGTCCCACAGGACTGGTCCATCCCTCAGGTCGGGTCCCCGTAGTGGCCTGGCGCACTTCCGTTTTGTGGAGCGAATTTGCAGCATTTCTCTCTTGGAGTTGTTTTGTTGTTTTGTGTGTTTTTGGTATTTGCAGCATTTTTTTTTGGCATTTGTTTTGTGGGTTTGTAAGTTTTTGCTTCTGCTTCGTTTCCGTGATTGCAGCATTTTTCTGTTGCTGCGTTTTTCTGTTGCATTTGTTTTATGTGTTTGTGTGTTTTTGGTTTTGCATCATTCCCGTGTTTGCAGCGTTTTGCCGTTTGCGGTGCTTTTGCCTGTTTGCAGCGCGTTTGCCCTTGTCGACCACCATACTTATGTCTGTGAAAAGCACTCTATAGATACATTTTACTTACTTATTATTTGCTCAGAGGTTACTTTGTCTCTTTCTGCCCTTTCAGTTGTCAGACTGGTTGAACCATTGTACAGCATTTTTTCTGCATGTACAAAACATTACTTTTTCTGCAAACCCTTCATACAAAATAACATCTATTTGTAAAGAAGACTTTCTACATTTTTAAAGCATTCAAAAAATACAGACTAGTCCTCTCAGCAATCTGACTGTACTGAATCAAGCTTTTGTGGCAGGCGATTCCACACATTTGAACAGTTTAGTGTATATTTTAGAAATGTCTGGGCATAGAGATTATACTGCAGACAAATGTTCACACATCCACCATCACACAGACATACTGCTAACCAAACACACATCCCACACCCGCAACAATTTATCACAACACATAAATTTAAAATAAAATCTGTTTTAACCACAGCAGGAGCCCCTCTCCCACAGGGCTCATCAACCCACACGCAATCAATCAGACAGGGCAGCTGTGATAGGACAAACCCAGTGGAGCACTATTAGCACTAAGCATTGTGGGAGCTCTACTTTCCTGTATCTCCTTTCCTTCTCCTGCGTTTTTAGGTAAGGGGGAGGGGTAGCTTACAGAGAGCAGCTGTGTTTTTGGTTTTGGTTTTGGTTCCTGCTGAGCACTGATCACTGATCACTTAGGAGCTTGTATCTGCAGTAGCCTCTGGTCAGTGTAAAGGTCAGTGTGACAGAGTGTGAGAGTGTGTGTACTCACAGCAGTTAGGTCAGGGGCTTTATTGTGAGGACCTTGTAGTATGAGCTGACAGGCCCAGGTGAAGAGCGACAGGACAACCTGACCTTCTCCTTTCTGAGGCACACAGACTAAAGCTGTGTTTCCACCGCAGGAACGTTCCCCTGGGACATGGAAACCTTTGAAGGAACACCAACCTCACGGACGAGTGTCTAAATTAAGTTCAGGGTACATTATTTTACACCCCAAAGTGTCGCTGCTTAGGGGTGGTACTTTCTAAAAGTACAGGAACTTTGGGGAGTGGTGGATTACTAGCAGCATTTTATTTCAGCCACCGTTTTTTTTTTTTTACCTGGCAGTTTGTTTTTTCTTCATTGTGCTACAACACATCAACACTGAGTTAGAGAAGAAAGCAGAATCAACAGAAGGACCAATGACAGAGTCTTGGCCTTGTTGTTTTATAGTCACACGGAAAAAAATACGTAGACAGCTGTCGCTTTTTCATACGTCAGCGGATTAATTTGTCTGAAACATAGACAGTAACAGGCTGAAGGAACCTTTTCGTTCATAAAATTTCAGGGAACTTCAGATACAAACGGGGCTACAATATGTGGCTTTAACCAGGGTTCGGAAAATTGAGGTTCGTCACTTTACTTGATTTACAAGGGGTTTTTCACTGGCTATGAAATAGTCTAAATTTAATACTGATGTCGTTATATTACATAGATAAGAAAACTAGACCACCAGCGAGACAATTGGCTTGACTTGACTAATGCCAGTCTTCTCCAGTATTGTCCAATCTGAGTGATATATCTACAGGTGGCGCTAGCAGGTCAAGGCAGGCAGAGTAGTTTGAACTGTACAGTTCTGTGCGATTGTGTCAAAAGATCAAAATCCTCCGATTGTCAGGTGTGCAGAGCGTACCTACAGTCAACTAGAGTCGGCGAAACTGCAAGGGAGAAATTAATCCAGCTCAGACCTGATTCTGATCTGCCAAATTTCCTTCTCTTTCTCTGTCGCTGTTCTCTGTGTCTTTCTTTTTTTTCTTCTTTAACTCCTTTCTTCTTTAGAATGTCATGTGTAAATTCTTGTCAGGCAGACATTAATTCGTACCAGAGTGGATTTAAAAACATCCCTGTACAAAAAAAGACACACTTTTTTTCTTTTTTTTTCAGAATAACGCATCCTATAAGACTAGTGGGAGGACAAGTCTTTACACTTTTTGATTTTAATACTTAGCTGGGTGAGTAAGGAGATATTATTATATTATGTAAGTGTGAGAGTGTGCAGTATTGGTATGTCAGTGTGGCGTATACTTTTGGTTTGGGGAGAATTCAACCAAGATCAGTGAGAAGAAGTGGTCTCCCCAAGCATTAGACAATAGAGGTTTCACAGGAGAAAGGTGGAGAGTTGGTGGGGGGGGGGGGGGAGGTGGGAGTGGACTCGAGGGAAATCCCTGGTCCTGAAATAGCCAGGTTGTTTGGATAGCTTGTTTACACTCTGCCACCCCAATTTGGGCATAGTGGTGGGAGCAGGAGATGGGCCAGACCAGGCCTGCTGCTGATAGCCAGACAATAATAGACACCAGCAGCACACAGGGGATCTCAATCACATCACTTCAAGAAGGGGTGTAAATGGGAGACGGGGGGTGGATGTTGATAGGAGGTAATTGTGTGTCTGTGGGTGTGTGTGTGTCCACCAAAATTGTATCCTACCACAGCTGCATTTGAGACTCATCAGCCCAGAATTGGATTGGATACCTGTGCTGTAGTTTAAACCTCTAAACTAACACCAAGGCATTAATGACACAACAAGAATACAGGTATGGAAGCCCAGGAGTGCCAATATTTAAAGGAGAGTATTTATTTTCTGTGCCAGCAGATATTTACCTAATCGTGTCAGCAGGTAAACTTTTGCTTATGAGCTGTGTTGAGGCTTATGGGAATGTCCTCCAGGTATTTGGTCATGAATCAAAGTTTTGGACAAATTCAAATTTTGACCTGGTGGTGGTGCTAGATTAAAATCTAAATTATCACCAAAGATATTACGATTCAACGTAAATATCTGTACCGAATTTCATGCCGATCCATCCAATGGTTATTAAGATATTTCAGTCTGGAACCAAGTGGTGCATAGAACAACCCATGCTGCTAGCTAACAAATGCATCAATACCGCCCAAAATTTTTTTAAATGCTACATTTGCAAATCATTTTCAGAATAGCATTATACTGCTCTTACGATAATGAAACTGAACAATAAATTGACTTTCCATTTCCATTTTCATTACACAAAACTTGAAAATAAAAGGAAAACTCAATTTTAGTCAAATTTCTATTTGATTAAGTTTCATTTGAATATTGGCATCCCTGGGCTTCCACAAATTGGCTAGTCAATTCAATACAATGTATCAAAAGTGTACAGACAGTTATAAAGACAGTACAGGATTATAAAACTATATGAAGAGGTTTAACCATTAGACCAGACAGAAGACTCCACTCAAATCCTCATATTAAGCTTGTGCCCCCAGTGGGCCGCTGTGTTTCAAGAAGATAAAAAAAAAAAAATTGGAATATTTGCCTTTTTGGAAAACTTCTGGATCAGTTCTGGATAGCATTCAAGAGTGTAAAATTAGAGGGCACGAGGACAAGACTTACATTGATCTGTTTTCCAAAGTCCTCATTTCACAGAGTGCACTGGCCTTGCCTTAAGAGCCTGAGTCATGCAAACAAAGTTGATCTACCCCGTCTCTTTATTAGCTCTCATCTTCTAGTCCGACTGGATTTATCTGGGGCCTCCCGAAAAGCCACCTCAGCCACCACTCCCAACCCCCCCCATCTCCCTCTCTCCTTCACTTCATCTCTAACCTCCAGCCAGATAAAAAAGAGACTGAGAGAGGGAGATGCTTTGGCAGCGCCGGTGTAGCCTTCTTACCCGAGGCTAGAAGGAAAAAAGAGAGGGTGGAGGGTTTCAATCTGAGGTTTGATGTGGAGTCTGCTTTTAAAAAGGAACAAGAAAAGAAAGATAACACACACAGCAAAGTGATGCAAGTGTTTAAGCACTTTGTCTTCTCTCCTAAACTCCTCTGAAAAGTCACTCACTGCCCCGGTTAGTTTCAGCCGCTGGGGCATCATGCAGGAAGCAGGTAAAAGGACTTTGAGATGATGTGACACATTCTCTGGCAGCCATGTTGGAGGTCCTCTGCTCCCCCCCCCATTTCCATGCCATGATAGGTCAACAGAGGTTTTGACATTTAAATTGCTGAGACAATACAGAGGAAGTGAATGTAATTCAATTTGTGGTGCAATAATTGAAGATTACTTTTTTCAATCAAATCAAACTGCAATCTCTCTTTCCAGAGATGTTCTATTTAGTCAGGATGATCCACAGACCTTGCTGAAAACAGTTCTTACTCTTTTTTTTTGCTAGAGCTCGAAATACTTGTCATTGAGCCGACCTATGGATTGGTTTATATTGGTTTCTGGTCAATAGTTCTAATTACCGTAAAACTTCAATTAGTCCCAATGAGATGCAGGTTCCCCTTACTAGCCTGGTGTGACTACACATTTTGCCAAATAAACTCAGGTCTCAATTAGAGGCCTGGTCTGGATTTGATAGAAATATTTTGGATGATACCCATTAGCCTCAGCAGCTGATCCTGTGGAGAAGAAACTAGTGGTTGTTGCAACTAGGAACAATAGTTGCCAAATGCATTCAAAGTTGACCCAGACTCAAAAAAATGGATTGATTTCAAGTGCTACATATACTGTCAGCTTTCTACAAGGTGTCATCTTTAGCCTCTGTTTGTTGTTGGGAACTAAATCAGCTCTGTGACTGTTTGTCCACCAGAGTGCATGTTTGGAGTCGTAGCTGTCGTCTCTCTTCACATTTATGTTCACAGGCTTGTACTTTTTGTGTTTTTTATCAAAGAACCAAATATTTTCTAACACAGTTGCTCATCTTTTGTACTGATGATTCATTCGGGAGAGTTTGATATCCGTTCAAGCTTTGGAAAAGCTCCAATTGCAAGCCATCTGATACTGTCTATAGAAAATGAACTGTACTCTTACTTCCCACTTCAGCACTCTGTTGAATTGAGTTGGCAGCAAGACATTCAGCAGTGAAAATCTCAAAACCTTTGTGAATTAAATTGAAACTATCTGCATGGCGCAATATCATTAATGGCAAGTTAGAAAATACAGTAGATCATTTTTGTAATTTGGGTGGAGTAACCCTATAAGACAATTGTAGCCAGCATAAGTCAGGAATTTATTATCAGCATTAGTGTATCTGATAAATGATCTACCTAGCTTCAGCCAAAATTATGCACAAAAGCAAAACTGACCTACATACACTTTGAGTGATCTTGCTACTGGTGTTTATTCAGCCATTAATAAAAAGAAGGCAACCTCCAAGCTGTGGCTGTCAACAGATCTGACACATTAACTGCAAAGCCCCTGTAGGGAAGGATGAGGACAACGGGTGGAGAGGGAGGGCAGAGGGGAGGATGCAGGAGGGCGGTTAGTCAATTAAATGGAGGGAGGGGAAGGCAGAGCTGCAGTGCTTTACATACCCCTGAGTCTACAGGCAGCTGAATTAGGCTCAGCTGGGCATGCAAGTCCTCCCGCTTGGTCACTTCCTATAGTGGAAGTGATCGGTGCAGCCGGACAGGAGAGGGAGGCGCACACAGGAAAAGAGGCACAGAGGTGAGAGGTGGAACCACAGCAGTAGACAAGAGCAGAAGGAGAGAATTAAAGGAGATTCAGCTTGTTGTAAAATTCTGACTTTACCATGCAACAGAGCATATCGAAGCAACTCTCCCGGACCACAGTGTGCAGTCACGTGCCGCACATGTGCATCTGACAACTTGAATTAGTTGAAAGCATGACACGTCAGTACAGAAAAGAGTAGAAGTGAGCAGCACAGCCATGTTTTACCCTCCAATCGGTCCATTGATGCTTTGCATGAAAATCACTGGGTCAGAAAGCAGTAATGAAAATGATCTTGACATATAAATTTAATGACACTGCAGTGCAGCTGTGCATCGTTGTGGATGTATTGTGCTCAGCGTGGTGGCAGCCCTCTGCTGCCGACTTGTCAAGTATGTGTGTGTGTGTGCTTACGTGTGAAGTGTGTGTGTGTTTGCATGTGTGCAGAATGTAAGTTTCTTGGTATATATAGTGAGAGGTGTAATAAAGAAGAAGAGCAACTTTTCTCTCTCTGCTGTTAATAAGTCTCCATAAAGAAACAGATTGGTCTGGTTGCACTCTCTGCAGCGGATATTCACACTGTCTCAGCCTGACAGAGACACAGAGAGAAAACGATGGATAACAGGAAGAAATGGAGTATGAAGGATAAAGTGGATGGAGGAAGGAGTTAAACTGAGAAAATAAAAGCAAGGAGGACTGAAAAAAACACCCCCATAAGATGATTTCCCCTCTGCTTTTATACCCAGAGCAATATAGGCATCAGAAGTAATACACAATGTTTTGTGCGTGGCTGTGTGTGTCTTGGCTCCACATCCATACATCTCTCCTGGCTTAGCTCACGTCGTTCAAGCGCCCGTTGCCTAGCAACCCTGACGCAGGGAAAGTTTGGCTGACTAAAAATAAACTTGGTGTTTGCAGAAAAGGATGTTAAGTTGAAAAAGGAGAGGGAGAATTAAGCAGACAGCTCTGTGATGATACAGGAGAGCAGAGGGAGAGAACAGAACACGAGCTAATAGACCTTTGGGTTTTCTGTTTCTACATTTGTTTGTCTGTGTGTGTGTGTGGTGTTTATAAAGATTTCGCTCTCTTTCTTCCCATAGTTCTCAACAGAAATAAAAGTTAAAAGAAGGCATTCTTTCAAATTTCTTCAATGGAAATTGGAAAGAAGTCTGTCACTTTATAGCATTCAAGCTATGAGAATACCCATTGTGCTGTTAAACTTGCAATAACTCATTGTAGTCACCTGGGGGCAGCAAAAAATTATGTGGCAAGTCTGTTAGCAAACTAGCCACATACAGCTGATACAGAGCAACATTACCATTCATCTGAAGCTGTGTTTCTGTCCATGTGACATAATAAGTCCTATATTCACTCTCTTTTTGGTCTTCACCAATAATATTTGGTTCTTTAGCTGCTAAATGTTCACCAGCTAGACGCTAGTTTAGTCTGTCTGCCGTTGCGTGCTGGACAGGTAGCGTACAGACCTTTTCTTAGCGCTAGTGCTAACGTTAGCAGCCTTTGCTACTAGTTGATTCTTTTTGTTCATGTCTTTTAAAAACCTAATGAGTCATGTCTGTCTTTCCCTCATGGATTCAGTTGTTGTCATGGCAAATAACCAGACTGTTAAAACTCACAGCAAATGTTCTATTGACTAACCCAGTGATTTGAATCATACAGTATAAGGTTGACTGACTTCTTCTTGTTCATACAGTTGGATGTTTGATTTTCACTGTGCAGAATGACGTATGTGCAGAGTTTGACACTCGAAGGATGTTTTCACATTTCTATGTGCTCACTGAAAATCTGATCTTAAAGGGCGGGGCCTACGAGCATGATTTGTGACATCACAATTTCAAAGTCCAATCTTTAAATTATACAAGTGTGACGTAGAAAGTTGAAGCCAGCAGTGCACATACACTGAGAATGGACTTTACAGGGAAGTAAGAGACATCTTGTGTCCGGCGGGAAAACTTTTATAACCAATTTTATATGTCTGGAGGGGATCTTTAAGTGATATTCAAACCATCTTTGGTTCCTGTCCACACAGATATTGCACCAATCAAATTACAGTACCAAAAATTCACCTCACAATGAAAGGGGTGGTGTCACTGCAGAAAAATAAATAAAACTTTAAATTCTTCTTTTTGCTAATAACAATTTGAACCAAATAAGCACCCAGGGCAAAACATACCCCAAGCAAAACCTCATTTAATTTCAGTTGAACATTAAGAATTCAACAGAAACTCATTAACTCCAGTCTTAGCCTGCATGTAAAGCCTTCGTCTTAAGCAGCTTTGGTCAGTGTCTCCCACCTCCTATGTGATTCCATTCACTATATTCATGCACTTGATATTTGTACAGGAGATAAGCGCAATGGCAGGAGAAGCTCATTCCAATTAATCCATATTTTATGAGGCTGTCAACCTCTCCCTCTGCCACCCTTTCGCCTATTCTCTCTCCTCTCATCCAGAGAGCCAAAGAGCGTCAGAGATCAAAGCATAGGTGCTGTCACCCCTTAAAGAAAGAGAGAGAGTGGGAGACAAGTAGACAGCTAGAGAAAGGCTGAATACTTGTGTGATTTACTCATCCCAGCTTCTATTCCCTTCTCTTAGTCGCTCTGTCTGTCTCAAATAAAGCCCTGTATGCTCCAGAAGGGCTGGCTAAAAAGAGAAGAGAGGTCGCTCATTGAGTTTCAACTTCTCTGCTCCCTGTGGACCTGAAAATGTTCCGGAGGGGGGGGACTTCTTTTCCCAGCTGCTGTCTCTAAACAAAAACAGCTATTAATCTACCTTCTTCACTCTCTTTTTTGCTGTCTCTTGCTATTTTCTGTCTCAGAGAAGAATCACAAACAAAGTGAGGTGGCGGCTAACATATCACTTTTGTTTTATGACATAAGACGAGTTATACTGAGGAGGGGAAAGATCAGGGGGGCATGAAAAGAAGGTATCCGAGCATGAGGCTGATGAAAGAGGGGTTGTGGGAGATGTGGGCTGATGCACAGTCTAGTCTAGCAGACATAGTTTTCTTATGATGTACTTTATGGCATGACTGCATTGGCAAATAAGCAGAACAATAATGAGAATGACTGCTGAGATAGTGGGAAAGAGTGGGAGGAGAAGAGGCTGACAGCGAGATGAAGATAAAGAGGAGAGGAAAATGAAACGCTGCAACTAGCGAGTGTAATCTCATGTCCTCACATAACCTGCTGCAGAGAGTGCAGGAAAAGGTGCAGGTTAATGCCCACAGTGTTTACCAATTTGTTATGTAAGTATGGGGCTGCACTGAAAAATAAGCAACACATTGACTAATTTAGCCTCCGTCTAGCCCCGTTTCAGTCTCAAAACCTTTTTTTTTTTTTTAAATATCATAAATAATTACAAGAATATATTAACATTAGTTTCCAAAGCACTTTCACCCTCTACATAAATGGTCTGTGTTAACACCTGGAAGCAAGCCAGATCACTCTACAAGATTCAACAAGATGACCTGCATTTAAAAGAAGACAAACAATCCCACCCCAAAGGCAGATTTCTCTCACATACTTTTAGGAAAAGAGGATTTTCAGCCTGAATTTCAGACAAAAAAAAGCTCAATAATGTATGCTGGATGGTTATTCTGTGCTAGTTTTGCATTTGTTTTTGTGCATGAGTGACCAGCGGCATTATACCTCAGTCTGGAAACCCTCGACCAAGATGGCCACCAGCAAGTTGAAGAGGACGTAGTTGCCAAAGGTCATGAGCGCGATGAAGTAGAGGGCAGCTACGGGAGAGGTGGAGGCCATGCCGTTATATAATACCTCGTTCCAGTCCTCCTGGGTTAGGATCTGGAGGAGAGGACAGGAAAAAGTATTTATGGGAAAAAGCACTGTGAAAACCATTGTTCAGCAGTTGTGTTTGATAATTGACCGTATGCTAAGCCCCGTCCCATTTAGATCCACATGTCAAGCAACTAGCTAGCTACAGCTGATAAAATTGGCTATGTAGTTGCTAAGCTAACACTGGCTCCACAAGTTGGTTGAAAACACTGTCTCTGGCTGACTTTTTTAAAAACCCGCCTCTGAAGATATGATTTTAATGTGCACTAGATGGTTATGTACAAAGTTACCTGTACCAGGCAAAAATTAGGATTCTTCATCAGCTAATGATCCATGAAGCAGACATGCTAATGCTACAGACTTAACTCAGGCATAAATCACGGAAGAGGTAATGTAGTAAAGTTTACATTTCACATTTGTTTGAATTCCTTCCTCCCCCTCCGATGCATCCCAAAGTTATAGCAACTAGAGGCAAGTAGGAAATGCACCATTACCTTGAATAAAATTAAGGATTCCTCTAGCTTAGAATTGTTGGCAACATTTGGTATAATGTACAACAAAAAAAAATAAAATAAATGCCATTTAATGTAACATATTATACCTTTAATTTAGAGCAGATAAACACACTGTTTAATAATTCCAAATTCTTGTGCTTTTTGTTTTGATGAAGTTGAACTCTTAAATGCTGAGTATTGCTGTGCTGTGCTGTGCTGAGTCAGTGTCTAGTTAAAGTCGTGTCCTGGGGAACGGTTTAGCAAACGGTCAGTTATGATATTTCATAGCCGATGTTGATGAAATTTAGTTTCTAGAAGGTATCTCTCTTGTATTTCATTCTGTGCAGCACGTGCTTTTCATTTGAAAAGACACAACACTAAAATGTAAGAGCTCTCGTGACTGTGTGGTGAATGTGTAACCTCATGAGAAGAGATGTGTCAGTACAATGTCCTGCGCATCGAGACATGCTGTAACTTCACATAGTCCCTGATCAGATGTTTCAATGAATTATAAATGGCTACTATATTTGGGGTGATAAATACTACACAGTGGGATATGCAGAGATAACGGGTCGGACCCCACAGAGGGCCTTTGAGTTGATTCACTAATCCAAGGTGACATGCAAGAAGAAGAAGAAGGCCTACTTAGAAAATTAGATGAGTGGAAGAAAATGAGGGCGATATATAAAGGCCAAGCAGTTAGGGAGAGAGGGGATATGAGAAGGAAGAGGAATATTTGATTTGATATATTTTATTTATTCAATAGGGAAATTGTCTTTTCAGTCTCTGAAAGGGGACAGCTTCAGTCAGCACCAATATAGCAGGAAGATGTGAAGTTGGTTGCTTGAGGGCACTTCAGCCGCAAGAGTTTGATCACACAGGAAGTTCAAGCGTCCAGATGGTTGGATGAACTTGCGTACCTTTAGATTATCCTGCTGCTACATTTTTACTTTCTCAACAGACTGTTAAATCAAACATATGGCTGCAGCCAAATTGGCCATAACACAATGAAATGTGAATATTTAACAGGGTTAAGTGAGGAGGACAGAGGGGTTTATGCTCACCTGGAAGACAGTCACTATGGCCCAGAGGAGTGAGTCAAAGTTCTTTCTGTCTGGCGTGGTTTTTCCTTTCTCCTCAATGCCAAACTTACAACCAAACAGATGCATTCCAAGGATACTAACACAGGAGAAGGGGGGGAACAAACAGGAAACAGAGGAATAATTGTTTACATCAGGCTAACCCATTTGATACAGTACAAATAAAGTGAAATCAACATGTTGAATAGACTGGTTTGGCTTGTTTTGACTTTACCATAGTGATTATACCTACTGCTTGCTAAACAGCTGAGGCAGAATATGTTGAACATTGACTGCCTAGAGGACCATCATACGAAAACACAAACACAGATATACACTAGTTTTATGACCAAAAAAGTAGCAAAGGTAACAAAAACACCCTGTATGGAGTACTGTCGGTCAAGTAATAAACAGACATTGGTTCATAAACAGTTGTCCCATAATGCATTGAGACAGAAAAGTTGCCAAGAAAGGGAGTCTAAATGGAGTGCCTATGCCAGGTTAAATTCAGCACCATGGAGAGCGCCATAAACCATGGCAATTTCCCCTACTTTGGAACTTAAAGGAATATTCCAACAATATTTGCTTTCTTTCCAAGAGTGAGATGAGAAGATTGCAGAAAACTGTCTAAGTGTTAAGTATGGAGCTGGAGCTGAGGGGGGGTTAGCTTATGATAGCATAGAGACTGGAAGCAGGGAGAAACAGGTAGCCTGGCTCTGTCCAAAGGCAACAAAATCCTTCGACTAACCCCTCCAAAACTCATTAAGTCCTTGCATCTCATTTGTGTAATCTGTACACAAGCAGAACTGTCAAACGGCAATTTGTGGTTTTAAAGAGAGCTGTGTGGTGTAACAATTTCCCGGCTAACAACAGTTTATCCATCCACCCACCATGGGCTGGAAACCTCACTGTGATGACAAAAGCTCTGGGAAGTCATAAGTTCTTTAAGTTTAGAAAAGGAAACGTCTGTTTCTGTTCGTGTACAAATTAAACAAACAAACTTTTGCTAGCTGTTTTTCGCTTCCAGTCTTTATCCTAAGCTACTTCAGTTGCCTCCTTGCTCTAGTTCCATACTTACTCATGAGAATAGTGAACTTTTCCTTTAAAATGTTTAATTTAACGGAAAAGTACAGCATGCTTATTTGCTTTCTTTACCAATAGAGCTACACACTGGACCTTTAAGTATGAGGACAGATATTTTCTTCTTTTTCTTTTATTTGGCCAACAGTTCTGTGACTTGTATACCCTCCGAAGATTAAGGAGGAACTGTATATATATATATGTATTGTCTGTCTCATTATTACCTTGTTCTTAACAGGACAAAGAGAAAGAAAGAAAGAAAGAAAGAAAGAAAGAATGCAGAGCTACATACAGTAAGACGGCTAATCGGGGGTGTTATTATTATGAAGCAGCAGTGAGTCTGCACTGCAGTCTGTCTTTTATTCAGAAACACAGACACTGGAGCTCAACTGGAGCTGAGGGATCAATGAACAGGCCTCTGCTGTGTCAACTTGGCAACTCTTCACTCAAATCAAGGGCTGTTTATCTATGCATATACAAGGCCCTTGGAAACTCTGTGTGTGTTTGTGTGTGCACTCACATACATATACACACACCCCAACAAGCTGCTGAAATGAAACAGATACACCTAACAAACACATACACACACACACAGGCTTACTAACATTGAGCTAAAATGAGGCAGAGACAGGGGCACGCACACACACACACACACACACACACACACACACACACACACACACACACTCACACTCACACTGTTAACAGTTTGACTGTTTCTCTCTTAAGTATTTCAAAGTTCAGTGTGATATGTTGGATAGAAAGCATTTTTTTCCAGGAATAAATTTAGATGTAGAGGAAATACTTTTTTAAACAACTTCTCCACCACTCTGCAATATTAGAACATACTGTAGATACCTGTAATAATGTACTATTATTATATATATATATATATATATAGCTAATAATAATCCATTCACTGGGGGTTGTATGGCATTACTGCATGCAGAGAAGTTAAAACATGAATTGATTAAAATTATTACTTTTTTGGGGGGGAAATAATATACTTTAAATACTATACTGTTGCTGGAAAATGTTTAATTTTGGAAAAACTTAAAGCCTTAAAAAACTAAAAACTTTTTTTTCTCTACCACCTTGATTCCACTGGGCACAGCTCTTTGACACTTTTATTTTGAAAATTCCTTATGCCATTTCTGTGTCTGACTTCCTGCCAGCTCAATCGATACCAATAATTACAAAAGTCTAACCAATAAAGTTTTATTGGAAAAGTCTTACCAAGAAGACTTTATTATAAAAAGGGTCATCAACAAAACTTTATTGGTCCTACTGTAAGATATGGAGACCCACATTTTGACAGGTAGACAATGGCTAAGATTTCATGTTCTATGCATATTTTCACATATTAAATCAACAATCAGGTGTGTGTGTGTGTTTGTGTGTGTGTGTGTGTGTGTGTGTGTTTGTTAATCAGACAAGTGCAGAGAACATCCACACATTGAGCTCAGCTACAGGACTAACCAGGCAGAAAAAAAGGTTGCTCAGGAAAAGAGGGAATCATTTAGTATCGACTGATCCCAGTCTTCCTGTCCCATGTCTGTACAGATCTCTGCTTCTCTCCATGTTCCTGTTCTACCAATTCACTTTCATTCCACACCTTTGTGCTTTCAATTCCATCCACAGAATTTGTATTGTGGTCACTGAAGGAACGCTCTGTAATTCACCCTGTTCTTTCTTTCCTCCATTAGCGAGAACAACGAGACAGTTCACACATTGTTTCTTGTAAGATCGATACATATATACATATATATATATATTATATATATATTTTGCACTGTGAGATGGGATGCAAGGTCACTCCCTCTGCTTCTGCCTACCTGAAGATGAAGATAAATAGCATGAGCAGCATGCAGAAGGTGGCCACGTTGTCCATGGTCTTCATCAGCACCACCAGCTGCCTCTGCAGGGCGGGCATGAAACGGATCAGCTTCAGCACCCGCATCAGACGGAAGGTCCTCAGCACCGACAGACCGCCATCCTGCTGACCCACGATCTCCCCCACACTGTACGGAGAAAAGTGAGACACACACATATGCAGATATGTTAGATCCAATGTGTAAACAGCCAATAGCTCTGACCAATAATCACAGATCCCTGCCCAGTTCAAGTGGAATGGAGCCCTGCTAATCACACTGTATGCATTTTCACCTATTTCGTTTAACGTCTACTGCTGTGCAATAATTTTTAACCAACATATTCTTTGTTTAAGCATTGTAAACAGCACTTAAATTTTTGTGATAAGAAACTGCACATTGCGTATTTTTGCTTTATAAAACATTCTTTAGTAATTTATTTATATCTGTTAAATCACTAAATCAGTATTAACTGATTGTTTAGGTCACTTTAAGGCAGAAGAATTGGCTTAGCAAACAGTTTACACACCAAGCGCATATGGAGCAACATTAATATTATATACAGATGAATGTTAGTCCAACATTCACTCTCCTTTGTGCTCTGTTTTGGTCTCCACCAACTCCCAAGAGACAAATATGGCTTAACACTCCACTAATGTAATGCTAGCTAGCTAGCTGGGCACCCAGCTCAATGTTAAGTTCGTAACATGGGTAGCGTACCTATGTTCCCCGGGTCCTATGTTGCCCGGGTTCTATGTTCCCCGCTTTGTATGGGACCGGGGAACCCTAACCCTAACCTTAGTGGGGAACATAGGACCCGGGGAACATAGGGATGACCCCGTAACATGTATGTGCTAACAGCTAGTAACAGCTAACAGATACATAGCTGGCTGGCCACAAGTTGCCCCCAGCCCCATTGGTGCTACGCTGGAACCAGTTTTCCTGGTCAAGAGCAGATTCTCTGGCTGACAAAAAGCAAAGACAACAGAAAACAGCTGCCTGCTACAGCTGGAAATGAAGCCGATGAGAGCTGTGACAGTGAACAAAACAGTAAAGTAGCTTAACTGTAAAACCAAAACGATGAGCTAAATAATGAAAGAAAAATGAAATAAACAAAATTCTCTGTAAAGCTGAGGGGAATTGCTCTAATTCTCTGTGGGTTCATCTCTATGAGCACCATCTTTCACATTACACATTGTTATTTGACCCATTGTAAGTATAAAAATATTTAAATTAACAATTTAGATAATATCACAATTATCCAACTTTGCAATTTCTTAGCTCTTCTGATGGGGACGGTGATCACTGTGTTTACTACAACGTCGCACTGACAAACTACAAACTGCAGCATTGCTCTTTGAGACGGTTTAAAATCTTTGACCACTCTATTTAATCCCAACATTGGAATGGTAATATTGGGTCACTTTTATTGGATGGAAAGCTAATACGACTGTACTTACATGCTTTGTCTTAGCTGTTTTTCTTCTTGTATAATAATGGCCATGGGTATGTAGTGCCTTTGTGTTCCCAGTGACATTATTTTGAAAAACAGATAGCATGGAGAAAAGGATCCTTTCATCATTTCAGGGCTCTCTGAAATTTTTTTGGGGGAAAATCCTGCCCTGCAGCTCACCTGATGACCACGATGATGCCATCAAAGACATTGTAGGGGTTCTTGATATAGCCAAAGGGCCCATAGACCAAAACCTTCAACAGCATCTCCAGAGCGAACAGGCTGGTGAACACGATGTTACTGATCTCCAACGCGCTGGACAACTCATCAGGCTGGGGACGGAGACACAGAAGACAAAGAGAGGACAGTGGTTAGTGCATGATTGTGGCATACTACATATCTTATACCCTTGTTTTCAGCTTGACTTCCAGCACTTTGAACTTCCTCCAACTGTATTAGATGTATAATCTGTATACAGCCTGAAAATCACAAGACTGGAGTAGCAAAGCATTCATATGAGTACAGCAGCAACACCTGCTATGCCACATGTGTCCAAGGAAATATGCTAATGACTAAATTCAATTCAAATATGACAACTCTGTCTTTTCACACTCGATACAATACACACGCTCGACCTTTATCTCGCACCAGGACACAAACACATCACAATGCTGCCGCTGAATATGCCCGGGACGTCTGCTCAAAGCTCATCAGAGAATTGGGCTGCCACTCACATCTACATCAAACAACTGGTGGTGTATGTGTGTGAGCATTTGAGCGTGAGTGTGTGTGTGCCAGAAAGAAAAAAAGACAGAGAGAGAGAGAGAGAGAGAGAGAGAGAGAGAGAGAGAGAAACAGGCAGCACAGACAGACAAGAGAAAGAACACAAGCCAAAAGATAAAAGGTGCGGCACATCCAAATACGACACAGTATGTAAATCAGACGTCTATAGCGGGCATCCGTAATTATCGGCGGGGAGAAAAGAGCCGGTGGGAATGCTGTTATGTGTCTGTGGACTGTGCAACACCCCCAGACAAGCTTCATGGGGCCTTTCATCTCCATGCAATAAACAGTTTACACAACTCAAACATGGTGTCATACACACACATTACACTGACATGACACAGAGGATGGAAGGTGTCGAGGGCCTGATCTGCACTCGCATGTTCTCCGGCATAAATGTGTAAGGGAGAGATCACACACACATATGTGCATGTGTGTGTGATCTTACAGTCTCAATATCCCACTGTGTTTGTGTATAAGGAGAGTCGTCCCGGCAGAAACATTATCCCCAGGCTGAACCAGGAGGTAATGTAATGTAATGTAAACATATGTGTCATTAAGCCTGTCCTGGTGGGCTGCCACTAATCACTATACACTATGACTGTTTCAGCAGCGACTGCTCAACACTAGCATGGATACACAGAGGAAGGAATACAGAGATTAACATTGCTAGTTGAATAACAGCCCCTCACGCTGCATTACGGCACCAGCTTTTCTAGAAGACTTAGGCATCAGTGACACAGAGTCGCTCGGTTATCATGAAATATTATCACTGGTTACACTGCCATTAGGTTATACAGTATGGGGAAAACTGTTGCTCAAATAGCCCTGTTACTATCTGTATTTGAAACTGTGTCTGTTCAACCAACTAAATTATCTGTATTCGTATCCATACTTGGAATCGGCGTGGCTTAACCCGGATGTGGGTGTTGCTTACACCAGAAGTTGTTTCGTTTAAGCCTGAAATTGATGTGAGGAGTTGAAGCCTGCAACTGACTTTCTTAGCTAGCACAGTGTACCCCCCAGGTTGAGTTTTATATATATATATTTAATGGATAGATACGAGAGTGGTATTGATCTTGTCATTTAACTTAAAATGTCAACATATTCCTTTAATCAGTCTCCTTGCTGCAGTGATGTATAAGTGTACTCCAGGGTGTGTCAGTACACTGTGACATCATTTGCACAGGCGCAAAAGAGCACATTTCAGTTCCTAACAGACCACTTTCATCAGTGATGCTAGGTGTGGACAGAGGTGCAACAGGTGCAAAAATGTCAACCAAAGAGCATTGCTTGCTTTTCAGGCTGGTGTTGAGTGACTCTTTAATTTCAACTAAATTAAACCAACGGAACTATTTACATAACGGCAGCAAAGCAATTTCTTGCAGAACTATGAAATTTAGTGGTCCCAAACTTGAAATGGGTCATTCACAATGTGCCTGTGTGCTCGGTGTAAGCACAGTCACAACCAACCACCCTCTAAAGAAAACTTCAATAAGAGCATCTTGACAGCGTGTCTGAGTTTCAACAAGTCAACACTTACAAGTCATTGCTTAGTATTAAGTCATTACTCCCTTAAGACTACAGTGCAACAGCAGGGCCTGGGGCAGAAAAGAAGGTCCAGCAACACCAAGGCCTCATATTGCACCATAACTGAGAGCCTGAAGCTTCAAACCTGAATTTCACTGGCTTGTGAGAAATTAACAAAGTTGCCATCACTACTCGCTACTTTTGAGTACTCATACCTAAATGACAAAATAGGTTGTAACTCATATTACTGATATTACTACATAATATCAGGTTGCGATTTAGGTGACTAAAAGTACTTGATAAAGAGCATGCTCATAAGTAGAAATCACTGCTGACTGTTGATGGGGGACACGATGCAAACAGCAATCGAACTTAGGTCGAACTTAGACAGATTCAACACCCAGCTGTCCAGCCCGACAGGGCTGGATTAACCCGCTAGGAGCCCCGGGGCAAACAGGAGCTCCCGGCCCTTACTGACCTCCTGTTCCTCCCACTCTCTGTGCACTGTCCCCTTAGCTGTTCTATTTATATGCTATACATTTATGTGCTTTTGTGGTAAATACTACCACAAACAATCAATCTTGTCACAGTGAGGATATATCTGAAGTGCCGAATAACAAGATTTGTATAAGTAGGTTGTAAAAAATAAAGTTATTTCAATTAAATGCTATTTCTTAGCCTGTCAGCCAGTCAGTAAATATCTGTGACAGAATTTTACTATAGAACTGACTCCTGGCCAATCAGGGGAGAGGATATATGCTCAACCACTAAAAGTCTCTTTTGTAGGACTCGAGGGCAAAAGAATGAAACAGACTGCAACAGTGTTGGGGCTTGTGTCTTTAAAAAAAAGTCGGTTATGACACAATTCAAAGCTGAACTATTCCAAAAGGTTTTGTCACATTACAATTGGCTTTCACCGAAAAGCTACCTGCTTTACCTTTCAGAATCACAATTCATTCCTTCTGCAATCAGCATATTAGCATTAACACCCAATATTCTTGTCACCCTTATGTTCAATACCTCAAAGGAAATATCCATCTCGAACAAGTTGATTTTTTTTACCATTGCTCTTCTACGCCATAGGCTTTTAACTGAGATGCCAACAGCTAACAATGAGAAGAACTAATTGGGGAATCAGAGCGGCTGGCACTTTTTGGCAACTTGAAGAGGAGCCAAAAGGTGATTACTTTCTTGATTTGTGACAAGAATAATATAAATGAAGTGTATTTCATCATATTACTTGTTGGGCATGTTAGTGGAGGCATCATGTAATGCATGTGCAATATTAAATGAGCAGTGCTGAATGTGTACAGAGAAGAGAGCGACATCTTTCCCCCTCTGTCTCCTTGTTAAAAAAAGAATCATTTGTCCACAGCCTGCAGTGCGGCTCCTGCCAGGGAAGCCCGCTTCCTGAAAAACAAGCTTTTCTCTGTTTCATCTCACCTCTTTGTCATCGTCTGTGTCTCTTGTGTCTGTCCCTGGGTTCACAGACACAGACGAATCTATTCGTTTGATCCCGCTGCTTTATTGTGTCCATTCATTTGTACACTGGCGAGCGCGGCGGCGGCAAATCCTTCATACACTCACACACACATTGTGCGATTAAGAAAAGTTCAAAGGGTAAACAAATGCCGGGGCACTTAGATGTTTATGTGTTCTTTCTGATGAATGCCCTCACACACGACTATGTCGAAACACACACACACACACACACACACACACACACACACACACACACACACTAGACTAGTGTAATACCACAGATGCACAAAGGTGTACCCAAAGTTACACTATAAGCATGTGTACGCACATCCACAGGCCACACACATAAACCCACACTGTGAGCTCCGCTCCCACACTCATTACCATGTATGCACACATACTGTATGCACAAAGCTCTGCACAGACTCACACTTATAACAATGGCGTGTAGACACACACATGCACACACACAGCTTTATAATAGATGCGATTGATAAGCCAGAACAAGAAGTACAGTTTTTATGAGGTGAGACTTGGACTGCAGACATCTGGCCTTGAGACTGAGGTTCAGGTCATTATTTTTCCCCCACTGTTTCTGCTCTCGCTATTGTTCCAGCTTGTATATTGGACATTCCTCAGACATCATGCAAGATTACCGCAAGAGAATGAGACCATAAAAAAAAAACCTCTCACACATAGAAACGCACACAGGAACACACAAAAGACATGGAAGTCGAAAAACTACACCCACAACCCCACACACACACACACACACACACACACACACACACACACACACACACACACACACACACACACACACACACACACACACACACACCAAAGGTTCACAGCCACCAGCTTATCAAACAGGAGAAATTTCTTAATTGACTAATGGCCAATGAGGTGTGCGTGCTACCTAGAGGGAGATGAATGTGTCCACGTGTGCAAGTGTGCATAAGTGAGAAAGACACTTTCCTTTTTTTAATTGCTTCCTTCAATGGCAGTTTCTTGGGTAATGAGGCTGCCGGAGCATTAGGAGGTAAAGTGTGTTAGATGAGGAATAGTGTAATCTGGTTAGCGCTAATGTAATGTCACCTAATCTGATGTGATCTAATCTAAACGGGATGCAGCGAACCGCTCCGCTCCAGACTGTCAATGATGCAGCACCATGTCTGGTGTGCGTCTGTGTGTAGGTGTGTGTGTTAGTTTAATCAAGTGGTTTGCTTAGGCATGCCACAGAAGAGGAAATTTCAAGCATGAAATGGAGAATGATACACCCACCATTATGGTTGGCTGGTTGGTTGTGATTCAATAATAATGATGATTTGTCTCAGATGACTGAATGAAAGTCTGTGTCAACGCCTTAACATACTAGGTGGAAGAACTACACAGGGGAAATAATGACTCTTTCCAAAGCATGGTTGACCATAATAAACAGCCACAGACGTTTCAAAGGCAAGGTGTGCCCCATCATGCCCTACAATGGCACTCTTTATGCTTGAAGTAGTTCAGCTCCTGTTAATATTAATGGAAT